CAGAAGCAGGGATGGGTGGGTCGGAAGGGGTGGCGGGGAATGCGAATGTAGACGGGGTAGACGGTGCCGGGGCGGGGGTGGGGGTGGGAGCGGAGGGGCAGGAGGATGGGGAGACCAGGTTGGTTCCCTGGAGGGGGTCTGTGAAGGAGGAGGTGGATTTGTTAGAGCCGTTGGCAGTTGGGCCAGATACGGCGGAGCGAGTACAGGAGCCGGGGTTTCGAGAGGAGGTGGGTGAGGAAGGAAGGGGGGAGGGCAGCTGAGCAGGCTACTGCTACTGCTACTGCTGTTGTATGTTGCTACTTACATTACGAATAGGTGGGGGGGTTTGGGCGGATGAGGATGCGGTTGCTCGCCGCGGCGGCGGCAGCGGAGGAGGAGGAGGACGTTTACAATACCTGGAACATTTGAACCGCATTTAAATGTGTGTATGTATGTATGTGCTTTTGGTGGGCCCCAAGGGCGCAACAGCGAGTCCGTCTGTAGGCGGCGCCCGTCTACTGCGCCGCAAGAGGGAGCATCGCATGATGTCGAAATATACGTAGCGACTGGCTCGGGTGCCGACAGACAGACAGTCAGATAGATAGACAGACAGACAGACAGACAGACACTCAGATAGACAGACAGACAATAAGATAGACAAATAGACAGACAGTCAGATAGACAGACAAACAATAAGATAGACAGACAATAAGATAGACAGACAATAAGATAGATAGACAGACAGACAAACAATCAGATAGACAGACAGACAATAAGATAGACAAATAGACAGACAGTCAGATAGGTAGACGGGGAACAGGAAGTATTAGAGCGCGTTGACATGGGTGTGTTGCGAGGGCCAACCTTAATTCCCCTGAGGGAGAACAAAGCCATTTACGGCAACAGTACGGCAATAACCTGCTAGACTTCAGTTCAACTCTGTGGAGGGTGATCACGCCATCAGTAGCCTGTGAATGTACGGCACCCAGATGGGCCCCAATTCTTCCTCTGGATTCGTGCGGCCTCCAGAGCGGGGTGGTGTGTTCTGTTCAAGGTTGGCTTGTGTGTCCGCGGGCAGCTGAAATGTCACGTCGGACCACAGGAATCGCAACCCAAGCCCATGCACGCGGGTGTGGTCGCCCACCGGGACGATGAGGTAGCGCTGCAGCATGTTGGGCTCGCCGCTGGCGTGCCAGCCACACCGTGATGAGCATCTGCATGAATTGTTCGGACGTCATCATCCTGGAGAATTCATCCAGGAAGAACACATTGGCGGCTTGCAGCACCTGCACGTGCGCATCTGTACTGCACACGGGTCTCAACATGCTGCTGCCGTACTGCCGGCGGCTGATGGGCAGGTTGAAGGCCGTGTGGTTGGTGTTCGCGAAGTGGGTGAGGCAAACCGTGAGGCCACACCAGTGCTGGGGAAAGACAGGTGCACGGTCTTGTCACACACAGGACCCCTGCTGGTAACGGCCAGGCCGACCTGCAACTGCAGCACAGCGCGTCCACCACTGCTTGCTGGTGCAACGTGAAGTGGTTGTTGTCCTGTTCGGCAAACTCTGCAGCGAGGGCAGCTGCATGACCTTCAGCCATTTGTGCCTGCCGTAGTTGTGCAGCGTCTGCAGGGTTGGTGCCGGGCTCTGCTGGGAGGGGGCCTCCCGCCAGCGTGTCTAGCATGTCGTCGCCCAGAAGGTTCATTCCCTCATCTGGGCTGTACTTTACCAGCAGCATCGCCAGCAGGGTGTGGCAGCGCTCGCTGTCGTACAGGTGGTACTGGGCATACCCGCGGTGGCAGCACGCCATGCAAGCACACAGTCACGCCGGCAAACATGAGAGCAACCCCCCACTTGGTTTCCCAGGCCTCACACTGAAATGCAGTCTGCCAGGTTGGTTACATCGTTGACCAGGCTGCACAGCTGGAGCACTGTTCATAGCAGCGTGTCCTCGCGGCATAAGGGTTCATGCTTGAGGAGCAGGTTGCAGAAGAAGCCCTCGGGATTAGCAGCGGGGTTGAAGTCGGTTAACCGGACCAGGCGTGGTTGAGCTATGGCCGGAACACGTGTCAGCCGTTTAGGGATGTGCCGCAAAGCGTTCCCCCACGTGGTGTGGTGCCCTGATCGGCCACGCAGTAGGTTGTGAAGTAGGTGTGGAAGGTGACCTCGTACAGCTCATGGGGCCGAAGGCAGTGGATCTCCACCGGCGGTGCACTGATGTGACGCGGCCCCTGCTTGCGACCGGAGGGATACACACATCATGTGCGGCTGGTAGGCGGTGGACTCCTCCCCTCCCAACAGCCGGGGAGGAGTCCACGTACTGGACGGCAATCGACACGGTGACCGTGGGTACGTTGGCGGCGGTGAGGAAGGCCAGGGTCGGGCTGATGACAGTGGCAGCCAGGTATGTAGTCGCCATGTGAACAAAGGTGGTCCATGTGGTCGCTCCTGCCATGCCGTGTCTGCCACACCCAGCACCACGCATGACCCTTCTGCAACGTCAACGTTGCCCATGGGCTCCGCATGCATGATTGGTGGGCAGTGGCATGTTGAGGACCTACAGGTCGGTAGGTGTAACTTGTAAATACAGGCCAGTGGTGGATGCCAGTGGTGGATGCTGAACCTGAGCGATCCACTGAGAAGTCGTCGGGGGTGACTGGTTGAGGGTAACCCCGAAATACCGGGGAAGGCAGGGTTTCGCAGGGCAGCGGCCACGGGTGAAGATATAACCCCCGCGTCCCACACATAATACAGGCAATACGCACATTCTGGCTACACATCAGCAATTGCACTTGCACACGACCGCAGTGGCTCTACCTCCATGGCCTCGTATTTGCGGATGTAGAACGACCGGCTGGCCGAATTGCTGCACTGGATGTTCATGTGGGGCCCCCCCACAGCAGCACCAGCGTGGGGTGGTCAGGTACCACGTTGTGGTGCGCCCAGGAGGAGGGGCGGTAGCACTAGTAGCGCAGTGAAGTGTGCTCGACAGCGGGGATGCTACCTGTAAACGGTGCCCATGGGAACTTGTACTTGCAGGTACGTGCCCGACTACTGGCAGCAGCCGGCTGCCCCCGCACCTGTGCACGTGTGCAAGCCATAATCCCCCCAATCACAGGACCGGTATAACCAATAGCAGCGAATAAAGAATATGTTGTGAAGGATGTGGTGGGGGAGGGCCGCCAGCTGCGGATCCCGCCAGCGGCAGCTCCCAGCGGCCAACCGCACAGGGGCAGGTTGGTACGGTTGCATCCCCTAGGTGGGCGGCCGGTAGGTACACAAGCTACAATTTCCGAAGCCACGTGATCCACCCGTCATCGGGATGCACCCACAGCACCACGTGTGCATGCAGGCTGTGGTGGTTCTGCACCTCATAGCGCACCACCCACTGCTGCACCCGTCCCAAGGCACACCACCCACACTGGACTGTTTTTTTGGGGCTGCGGCCGGTCTTTCGCACCTTGGACATGAACGCCTGCGCGTGCTTGTGGGCGAGGTAGATGTTCTCTGCTGGCGCATCACGCATGGGTGAAGCCCGTGCAGAAGCTTGTGGGGGAAGCAATGGAACGGTCGGGTGTAAGTCTTGGGTACTACGGACAGGCGGTGGACGGTGGACGGCCACGGCCACGGCTATTAGACAAGTCGGGAAGCAGCTCATGGGCTTGTGGATCGTGTTATCGCAACACAGCTGCAACATGCCAAGCCCCTGACCAGCAACCTACCCGGCATCCGACCAAGCCACGCCTCACCGATCGACTTACCCATGCAGGTTGGCTTCCAGGGAGTCAATCTCTGACCAGCGAGTGTCTGAATGACACCTCGTCGGTTGTTTAAGTGTCAAAAAGGACACCGGCATGCTGTAGCGGCCGACCATGCAGAGCAAGTCCTGCAAGTTGCTGCGGTGCCGCGCCGGGGTCTGCGGGGCCACCAACCTGGCGGGAAATTTGTGCTTGAGGATGTGGCGAACAGCTTCCTCGTCGGGGCAGCTGGCAAGCGGGCCTTGTAGTCCAGCAGGGCGGACTCCTGGACGACCTGCAGCGGTTTGACGGCAGGCAACAGGGTACCTCGAGCAGTAACGTGCAGATGACACCAGTGCGGAAGGAATGCGGTGGACTGAGGCCACCTTGTTGAGCAAAGCCCCTCGAGCAGGAACGTGACGCAAGGACGAGTGAACGTAAGGAGCTGTTCGTACACATCAAAAAGTGAAGGCCACGGCGGGCGATGTAAAGGCCAGGAGCCTTCAAAAGCCAGGTCACATCCGGGCCATGTTCCTATTCAGGCATGCAACGCACGCTGCATGAGGGCACTGCAAAACACACCTGACGCGGCAGCAACATGCGGCAACCGTTGTGCATCCTGATAACATCGCACTGCTATCATCGGCCTGCCGTGCCGACCGAAGCTGCATGTGCCCAAGTTCAATGCCGCTAGGGTGATTAAACAAGAAATCGCGCAATGTTGCAGGGCTCCACTCGAGTCGGACGTTTTCCACACACATACGTGTAAACCCCGCGCTCCTGGCTTTTTGAAGGCTGCCCTTTGCGCTGCTCAAAGATTTTACTATTTCAACGTGTAGCCCGCGGCATTGCTCGTGGCCCCTCTGATATTTCTCACGTACCGAGTCGGCTGAGATGGATGTCCACCATCTTAGGACGCACCTCAAGATCGGTCCAGCTTGGGAGGGTTTTATTTATGAGGCCTGCCCGCTTTACATTCGATAGCGCTTGATAGCGGTGAAACGGAAAGGGCCCCCTTCGATTTGATGACCGTATTTCCCGACTGACTCGGTGCGGCGGGATCGTGGCGGCCCCGAGTTTTGCTTCGTGAGCAGGCAGTTGGGTACGTGGTCAAAGCCGGGGAAGGCCCTCTGTCCCCGCGGTTATTAGGCGGGGGCGCTGGTCAAACCGGTCCAGTTCAGTCACTGCGCCAAACGGGATCCTCACCTGAAACAATGGCTATGGATGTGGCTGTTGATGGGCTATGGATTGTCGTACTGTCGTACACGGTGGGCCCTTAACGGAAGATTCGTTGTCGGGATCGGGAGGGACGTGTAATCCGTGATAGCTAGGAACTTGAGATTGAAGCTTGCCGAGGCGGTTCGTGACCGTGCGTGTGCGGCTTTTACCCCACAGACAAAGACGTCATGCAGGAAGCGAAGTGAGTGCGTTTCCCCAGCGGGGCGGCCTCTTGCTGCGGCAGGCAGGGGGCGGGTCGCGTGCTAGAAAAGAAAAGAAATCAAGGAGAGCGCAACTGATTCCGGATGCAACGGATAGTAGGCCGGGAAATAAACCAGTTAGTGCCTAATCTTTTACGTAACCGGCTAACGAGCACATCCGGGCAACCAGTGAACTTAAGTGATCTCCTGATCAGTTCACCCCCAAGGTGTTAGCACCCGTGTTCAAAAGAGATGGGCAGCTCCATCACATGGACGATTACCAGGGCATTGCGGTTGGCGGGGCGATGGCTTATTGCTATGCTTCTGTTATTGTCATCCGAACGCCGGTCCAAGCCGGAAGGAACGCAGAGTTGAGACACCGAGCGTAGGCTGGTTTTAAGTTCAAGGTTTTGGCACCCAACCCATCAGAAGCTTGTATCGCCCAGCGGCGCCTCACACGGGTCTGTTGCCGGAGCTTCGCCTGCTAATTGCGGTTTAGGTAGACTTTGAGAAAGCCTTTGGCAGTACGCTTAGCAAGCAGCTAGAAGCAGGAAGAGGACTGTTACGGCATTTCAGAGGGGGGAAGGCCGCCGGGGAGCTGGAAGATCGCACAGCAGACGGGGAGATGGGCTGGGATGCTTGGGACAGGAAGCGGGCAGGAGCTGAGGCACTTCAGCGCAGTAAGCGGTGCGATGGTATGACAGCAAAAGCTGGCGAGCATAGGGCCCAGGGGGGCGGAGAAGCGTCTTGTGTGGTCTGATCTGCGTGCGGCATACGACTGCAGACTTGGCATGTGTTGCGTTTTTGTGGGGATGGCCCCCCTCCACTGATCGAACCCTCAACAGTTTGACGAAGCATCTGTACGGCATTCGCACTTGAACGTGCAGGATGGAGCTAGTGTACGTTTACATCTAGGGAAAAATGTGCCCTCGGAAGAGAGAGTGTGCATTGACAAGGAGTTGCAAGCGCCCACTCTGTCACAGCACGTGGGTAGTGAGGGGATGGCATAGGTAAAAGGACTTGCATGGTCAGCCAGTTGTCCTCCGCCCATATTGTTAAACTTTTTAATATGCTTCTCCTCAAATGCTTGGATTGCGGTGTCATGCTGGCCTGATTCTGCGGGATCTGTGGTGTTTTGTTCGGAAGCGTCTGGATTTGATTGACCAAAACTGCGCAGAAGTACAAACGAACGCTCTACCATTATTGTTGCGTTTAGGTTATAAGTAAAGGTAGTTATCTTTCTTCATCTGGATTTGAGCAGACGTGCATATCGAGTATTCGCCAGGTAACACGAAGTCTGTCACGTATCCCAACTGCAGACAGGCTTGTGCTAGCATTCATTCCGAGAAGAAAGCGTAACAGGTTTCTTAGGACTTCTGTGATACCCACATACTTTCTTTGCAATAACCCGTTGGCTCCCTTTCTAGCCAAAGTGTTTTCAGCGACCGCTGTAAACTTGGAGGACACTACGGATGGGAAGGGATTACTACGCCATTCTTGGCGTTTCGAAAACAGCTGACGAAAATGAGATTAAAAAAGGTTTGTTTCCCATCCCCTGGGCAGAGTTTCCAAAACGTTAATGGCTCAAATTACTTATCCTTGCTTTCCATACAGCTTATCGTAAGATGGCGATTAAATGGCACCCGGTAAGCTTGGGCGTCGTTGTCGTGGCGGCATGGATCCTGCAGTTAGAGCCAGCAAAGGCGGCTAGGGAGATTGTGTGGGATGCAAGTAACACATTCGTTGACCTGATACATTCCGATGGTGGGGACTGGGAACGGGTTTTGCATTTCCACGCGCCTAATGCAGGAAATGTCTATCTAGGCCTTCTCGCAGGGACGTGCCTGGGGCCCGGCGCCAAATAAAACACCACTATCTCCCCCCGCCCCCTCATCCTCCGTCTCTTAGGATAAAAACCCCGACAGAAAGGATGAGGCGCAGAAAAAGTTCCAAGAGATTTCCGAGGCTTATGAGGTGAGCTAGTGCCCTGGTGGCCGATACCCGTCTCTGGTGGCGCCGCGCAGCATATAAGGTTGGGGCACACTTTCGCAAACGCCCGCAAGCACGCAACCCTCCACTGAAGTCTCCGAACCCCCCCTTCCCAAAATTCCTTGCTCCTTGCATGTGATTACTCCTCCCTACCATTCACTCATCCTGGCCAACAGCCGTCGTCTGCTCTCCCCTCCTCCCTCTTCGCCTCTCCCTCTCCGACACCCCTATTCCCCTTTCCCACTCTTCCAATTCCCCTCGTTCCCTTCCCCACCCCGCGACGCATACGACTCTGCCCCCACACCCTCCTCCCCTCTCCCCTCCCTCCCCTCCCCCCCCCTCCCCTCCCCCCTTCAGGTTCTAACCGACCCCCAAAAGCGGGACATATACGACAAGCTGGGGGAGGAGGGTTTGAAGGCGGGCATGGGCGGGGGTCCGGGTCCAGGGGGTGGTGCGAACTTCAGCCGCTTCCGCCGACCAGAGGACCTCTTTGCCGAGGTGCGCACGGGACGGGGACACACTCCCCCTTCCCCCTAACAGTCGGTAACGCAACTCCCCAGAGTAGGGGCTCACACACACACACACATGCATACACGATAGCAGGGGGTCCCTTGGGCCTTCGCCGTCCCTACCCCACCCCTTGCCTGTGCCGTGGAGCTAGGCGTATAACTTGGTGCATATTCCTGTGACTACCCCCCCACCACCACTGTACCCCGCACAGCACAGCGCAGCAGACCCCTTCTATCCTTTTTCCATTTCACTCCTTTCCGCACACGCACATTCACACACTCGCACATTCCGCGCATCATATATAATCTTACCCACCTTCGCCCCGGGTATGGCCCCCGCCGATTACCCCGCCTTTGGCGCGGCCGCCTGCGCTTCACCGCCCGACGCTGCTACTGCTACTGCTACTGCTCGTGATGCGGCTACTCCGCAGCTGTTTGGCGGTCGCAGCCCTTTTGGCATGGCAGACGATGACGACGGCTTCATGGGCGGGATGGGCGGCTTCCCCTTCGGCATGGGGGGATTTCCCGGTGGGGCAAACACATGGGATGGGGAGGCGGGGGGGGGGGGGAAGACATGGGTGTGCCGGGGCCGGGCATGTGGTGGGGGCTGTCAGGAGGAGGAACATTAACTAGGTTGAAAAGTGACGGGGGGAGTCATATTTGCACGTGCGTGTGTGTACATGTGGTTACGTGTGGGTACCTATGACCATGCCTGCGTTTTTAATCTGATTTGTTCTGTCCCGTGCGTCATTACGTGGCTCCTTTCCGTACATCCATCAGCTTTCAGTTGTCGACTTGGGCTGAACCGCTCTCCTCATACATACGTACATACATACGTACATACATACATACATACATACATACATACATACATACATACATACATACATACATACATACATACAATGAAATTAAACACATACCCGTGCCATGGCCAGCCCGTGCCGGACGGCGCTCCGCCCCACACCCCATCTTCCCCCTCACTCCATGACTCCTCCGCTTCCTCCTCTTCGCCTCTCCCACCGCTAGCACCGGGCGTACCGTACCATTACCACTCTGCGCGCTTTCCTTCCTTTCCCTTCGAACTCCCGCAGGAATGGGCGGCATGGGGGGGATGGGCGGCATGGGGGGAATGGGGGGGATGGGGGGAATGGGCGGGGGGCGGCGATCTGCTGGGCCTCCGAAGGCCAAACCCATTGAACATAAGCTCAACCTATCTTTGGAGGTGAGGAGTCGGGGTTAGGGGGGACGCGCGCGTGTGTGTTTGTGTGTTGGGACACGGGGCGGGTGGTTCTATGGCCCTAGGGGCAATGCGGAGAAATGCCCCCCTCCATTGGGAGTGGGCAGATAATGCCGGTAGTGGTGCTGAGGGTCTGCTGGTCAGCGCACCTAGTGTTCGGGCTGTGGGGCGGTGGAAATGTCGTCAAGTCAACCCGGTCAATCACCCCTCAAGTCGACTTTCCCCGCCACACTGCTCCCCCTCCCGCACCCTATGTTGGTGTGAATGTGTACTTGCATGCATGGTTTTTACGCGTATGTATGTATGTATGTGTCTCTCTGTGTGTCACCCCCCTCTCAGGACTTGTACAGCGGTGTGAGCAAGAAGATGAAGATCAACCGCAAGGTGCGGGGGGAGCCCGCGGAGGAGATTGTGGAGATCGTGGTGAAACCCGGCTGGAAGAAGGGGACGAGAATCACCTTTCAAGAAAGAGGTACGGCGCGGTGTACGGGATGTACGGGAAGGAACGACCTCAATCGACACCTCCGCGCGGCGGGGTGGGACTAGGAGGTACTCCCCTTCACACCCTTCCACCACATACCCCACGCCTCTCCCCCAATGCCGTGATTCCCCCTTCCCTTATCCCCACCCACTCATCCACCCAATTCTCATCCTCGCCCGCTGCCAAACCCTTTCCCCCCCCCCGGGCTCACCCGGCCCCCGTTAGGTGATGAGGAGCCGGGTATCATCCCCGCGGATATCGTGTTTGTTTTGGACGAGAAACACCACCCGCACTTCCGGCGGGAGGGCTCCGACCTGTACTACACTGCCGTACTGTCCTTGGCGGACGCGCTGTGCGGTACAACGTTGCGAGTGAGGGGGGGTCTGGGCGGCTGGGCGGGGTGTGAGGGCATACACACATACACACACGCGCGGATGTACATACTTGCGAACATATCCCAGCGCAACCGCCGCAAGGCCCTTAATGCGTTTTCTTATGTTCCCGCTTCCTCATGCTTCATATGTTCCCGCCGCATTATCTGGAGATGCATGACCTTACGTGGGGGTTACCTTACTTGGCTTGAACACAGAGCACATGCAGGCTCGATGTGTGTACATGTATTCATAGATACCGATGTGTGTGCTTGTGTGCAGCACACATACACAACCTCTTCCACCCTCTCCCCCTACCTAGCTACCGGGGGGAATCATATCGCACGCTCGTCCGCGCCTCCACACACACCTCCCCTTCCCGTCACACTCTTCCCCTCTTCACTCGCACATACATACATACATACATACATACATACATACATACACATCCTTACAGAACCCGGCCCCCCCCCACACACACCGGCAGATCCCTCACCTCGACGGGTCAACAATTGAGCTCCCAGTCAGAGACGTGATACGGCCGGGGGAAACCAAATTCTTGCGGTACGGTATTTCAGAGGGTTGTACGGCAGACTGTGCTTCATGGAACCCAAGGGGCATTATGGGAAGGCTATGGGACTATCTCTCACTCGGCTTTTGAGGTTTGGGGCGCTTGGTCAGGTAGTTGTCCGGTTGGTTGGGAGGTGGTTATAATCCCCGCATGTATGTGTGTGTATGTGTGTGTGTTGGCTGTGTCCCCCCCTTCCCCTGGCAGCAGCTTCAATCGTGTGTGGTTCGTCTTTCCCCCTTCCCCCCGCAGCGGCAAGGGTATGCCCATCACCAAGGAACCGGGCAGCTTTGGCAACCTGGTGGTCAAATTCGATGTGCGCTTCCCCCGCGACCTGTCCGAGGTCACCAAGCAGCAGCTCAGGGGCCTACTCCCCACCGCATGAGGGGGGGTGTCGGGCGGGGGCGGGGGGTTGGGGGGTAGGAAGAGACAAACATATAATAACATATACACACATGCACACAGCATGGGGCGGCGTGCAGAGCCGCTAGTTGCCGTTTCGCTCTCCTTTTCTGGGCGCTTGTAGTGGTGGTCGGTCTGCCCGCTGTTCATTACCTGACAGGAAGGGAAGGAACTGAGCTGGGCCGCAATGTTGGCTGGTTGATTGGCTGGTGGCTGGGAGGGTGTGGGTGTTGGAGGCGAACGACGGGGTGGGGGTTAGCTGGAGGGTGATTTGAGGGGAGATGAAGCACGAGGGTAACGAGCACGGCGATACCACCAGCGTGTGTTGTAGTCGTGTGTGTGCGTGTATGCGTGTGTGAGGAGGTGTTGCGCGATTGCTGTTCCATCGCTCCCCCATCCTCCTCCGCCACCGCCGCTGCCACCGGCTCGTCGCTGATTTCCGCTTTTTTTTCCTGTCGGGTCTTTTCGGCGCTTTACAAGCAGGTCTCTGTGGTTGGTGTTGGGGCTGCCGACGACCTCTTGAGCACTGGGGGGAACCGAGTCGTGGCTTCCCCACCGTCACTGCCACTTTTGATTGTCCGTCCGTCACCGTCCCGCACCAGGCTTGAGGAGGAGGTCCAAAGACGGGGCCCACGGCCGCGCCCTGCAGTGCGCGGTTAACCTTGCTCGGTAGACGAACCACTGCACCTCCTCTGCTCCTTCTTCTTCTTCTCCGCCTGGCAGCTATATAGATAGATAGCAGGTGTCTGGTAAAGCAGTTGCAGGGGTGGAATGCTCGGGTTTGCGGTGGGAGGGGATCATATACCAACGTCGAAAGCATATCCAGGCTTGGCTTGGTTCGACTAAGCGGGGGTGTCACATCGCTGCATGTAGGTGGGGTTCGGGAGGGGCCCGGCAAGGCAGGAGGGGCCCGACGACACCGGTCGGGAGAGGCACTTAGGGTTCCGGAATCCGCATGAAGCTGGGCTGGCTGGTTGGCTAGGAGGGCAGCCTGGGGTGGACGGTCTCGACGCGCAGTGATTTCCTCCCGCGACATTGCGTTATCGCCTAACGGCCTCATTGCCTTCAACTTCATTGCGGTTCCTTACGTTTTTTTAGTTAATTCCGTTGGCGTCCGTGTGGTGATGTGGTGGTGGTGCTGGCGGTTGCACGTGGGGGGGGGGGGAGGGGGCCATTTATTGCATTGGGCGGCTGGAGAGGAGGAGGTTGTGGAGGTCCCAGTGCTCTCCAGGGCGCACTGGCGAGGCAGGTGGGTGATGGCGCAGTTCGATTGGCGGGGAAAATTTGCACCCGCTCGGCAGTGGAAGCACACTACGGCTTGCAGTACGGTATAATACTGGTGCCACTGTTTTGTAAAACTCGCGCCTGCTCGCGACGGCGCGGAGCTGGGCTGCCTGGTTCGACATTCCCGGCGGCTTTTAGCCCCTTACCGACTGGCTGATGGTTGCCCGGACGCATGCCTGTAGTGTGTTGGAAATGTAATGTGTTGACACTGATATACCGGTGAATGGTAACCACAGTAATAGGAACCGGCTGGGGTCCGGCGCTTTGCTTGTTAAAACCAGCAAAGCGCCGGACCCGGGGGGGGGGCCGGCAGTGCGCGCCCTTTGGAGTTGAACCGTGATGCCGTACTACGGGGACACTGCGGCCTTTTGGTGCTCAACTGCTCCTGCCTGGGGTCAACGGAGGTTCAATCACTGCGGTTGAACCCACAAGCCGCCGTAGGGGTGATTTACATGGTCTCAAACGTGTCCTGTGTCACCTTGAGCTGCTTTGCCCTATATCCATTTCCGTGAAGTGCGTGGGAAGACGGGACGAGGCACCCGCCAGAGCACAAGGCGCCTCTGCAGCCCCCGCTTTCTGGAACACTCGTGACCCACACTGCGTCAACTGGTGCGTGTGCGCTCTCCGTCGCCCAAGGATGTGGGAAAATCCCAAAAATGGGTCCATGGCGGAATAGTTCTTAGAATTAAGAGGAGCACCCCTTCCGCCTGAGCTATGACCTCCTCAGCACGAGGCTCAGATGTCTCAGCCATCGCAGGTGGGAACAGAACACACCTCGCGACTCTTACCCGCCGCTTCTCGTCTCATAATGGTCAAGCCGGTCCGTCCGCCGTCCTTGCCCCGGAAACAATCTCCAAGCATCATGTACCATTCCTGATCGTCATAAGTGCCGCGACACATGCAAAAATACGCGGCAATCACTTGTACGGCACGCGGCGCAGTATGTAATTTTGCAGAACGCATTGCAGCACAGCTTGTCCGTCGGTCTGATTGTGCATAAACGTGTAGTATACATTAGGTTGTATGGTATGCCGATGTACACAGCCCAAAATTTGAAAGTATGTCGCCGGTATCGTCACGCCTGAGTGATCAAATTCCACTTAAATAACAACACGCTTGTCCTGCCCATCCTGTCTCACACCGACCAGCCGAAAACATAAAAACCCGGCATACAACCGGCGCAGGCCAACACGACCCCGGCTTTCCTCCGGCAACACCTCCTGTACACATTTTCTATTGATCAGCGCCCTTAAGCGTGCAGCTGCTGTCCGGGCCGCCCCCTCCCCAAAACCTATTATCTCCAACAGCTATACATGTTTATCACCGCGGTGGACTTACCAGGTCACGCGACTCTTCCGTCCCCCACCCCCAGCACACAGCCACCGGAAGTGGAGCATGGCCATTCCCCCCCTGGGGCCGGACGGCGGCCACCCGGTCGCCAGTGCTATGCGACCATTTCCTTGCCTGCCTATCCACCTGTCCGCCTCTTTCCCAACGCAAACTGAGTTCCAACGAGCACGACTACGGCTACTGCTACCGCTGCTACTACCGGCGTAGCGGTAAACGACACCACACAGCCGACCATTGTCGCAGTCTTCAACACTCCAGAGCACGGCCGCATGGAGATCATCATCCAGAAGGCCACAACTGCTCCCCCCAACCCCCGGCACAGCAGCAGCAACCGACAGACTGCAAAATACCCCACGCCCCCTTCTTTCATGCCAAATTCCGCGACTTAAATCCTGGCTCCCTCAAAGCGCCCGAGGGCGGCTCCCTCGGGTCACATAAGTTGTCAGATGGTGGTCAGGACAGGCACCTGCCCGTTAGTCGAGTTCAGTCAACTCGACCAATAACGGGGGATGGGGGGCTGCACGAGGGACTTCAACCACGAGCCGAGGCAATGGAAGGCCGAGAAGACGGATGATGATGCATGCGAGTATGTATGTATGCATGTACCGCGGTGGCGGCGTTCGGCCCAAGGGCATTTTGTGAAACACTTAAGGCGGCCCACCGCTGCTGCTGCAGACCGACCGCAGCCGTGCACGGTGCTCGGCAGCGCATGTGCTATTGCATTTGTGTCCCCGCTCCCCTCCCCTCTTTCTATCTCCCCGTGGACCTATGATACATTCCGTACAACCCTAAACGCCGTTCAGGACGAGCCCACACGCGTAGACGCCTCCTGCTTGTGGCCCCCACCACATATACACAAAATACTTATAAAAACATTGTTTTTACAAGCATACATAAATACATACATGCATGCACACCATGCATGCACACCATATCCTTATGGATCGGTGTTTATAAACACTACGAAGCACAATAACACAAACAAAGCAACAACACCATGGGTTGCGTGCTTGCTGGCCAATAAGGGGCAGACATCACTCGGAGACACATCGGCCGCCGCAACCGCCGCAGAGCGCTATAAGCGGGCAAATCACCACACGACCACCAACAGGTGTGCCCCTTGCTTCATCATGTTCACACTCGCCAACCAAACATGAGCATCATTACTGCATCACCTCCTGCTACAGCTATTGCTACTCCTGCTGCTAACTGCTGCTGTTGCTCGAACACATCAAACCTGTTAAGAGCAAAATCCAGTTCATGGCGGCACTCGCTCCTCCATACACCGCAGCGGCACTGCTACATGCCAGTCTCAGGAAGAGCACCGCTCCCTACCACCGCCATTGCAACTCCAACACGAGGAACGCGAGTCCAGGAACATACTACAAGAACTTACGGACAACCCCCACCTCCTGCTGGCAAACTTGCAATCGCGCATGTGCTCCTGCTCCCCCCACCCCCACCCCCCCACACTCCGATTTTCAGCAACTGAAGACACGCTTGCTCGTTTGCTCCATCACGTGCATTTCTCCCCCTCCCACTGACATCCGCTGCCCACCACGGGCCGTGTTGGCGCGAAATTCCGCAGGGACAGGAGTCTCCCAGCTTTTGCTGCTCCTTTATAGCCTAGCCGAAAGCCATTATAGCCTAGCCTGTCCGCCCTACCATCGTTACGTTAGCAGTGTTGGCGCATTGCTGCGGACGGTTGTTGTTTGCGTCTTAGGACGCGCCGAATGGCGGCCATGTGAATGTGCACGCGCGCGCACGCGCGTTTGTGCTATTTCCATGCGTGTGCGTGTCGCAGCAACGCCCCCTGCCCTCTGTCCTCTGCCAACTAGTCCCTCTCCCCTCTACCCCTTCCCGGGAAAGCTGCGTAAGCTTTAGGGAAGGGCGGCGAATGAAGCGACACTGCTACGAAACCCTACACTCATCCTGCCTTTCCCGCGCAATAAACAACCGCACCAGCCTCTCCAATAGCTTAAAGCTAACCCCCAATCAATGATCGCATTCTTAAGCCCCCGTCCTCAACAAGTCCAGACACATTAGCGTACGCGGGGCCCAGCTTGTCTATGCAAACGACGCAGATGAAAAAAGGCGCGCACGGGACGTGGAAGCACCTTCCCGCCGCTTGGCTGAAGCCCACATCCTGCACCGTTCTCGCCTCTCGCCGACAACCTACAGGTCAGCTCAGCTCCTCCTCCTCCTCCCAGGAGGGCATCAAGCCGCGGAGCACCAAACCATCCCCCCGCTCAGGCGAGTTCCCGGCGCCACTCCGTCGGCCCATTGCGCCGCTAATGGATGGCAATGGCTCCGAATACACGCCGTTACCGCCACCGCCACCACCACCACCACCGCCGCGATGGCTGCCGGCCTGGGGGGCAAAGGGAGCTAAAGGCTGCTGCTGCTGCTGCTGCTGTAGCTGTAGCTGGTATTGGAAGTGGTGCTCATGCTGGTGGAGATCAGCTGGTAATCCGGACGGGAGAGAACGGCGGTGGTGGCTGGTGGCGGCGACCATCCGCCCGTGTTGTGACGCCGCCACCGTGGGGCTGAGGGGGAAGTAGTCCTCAGCGCACGCTCCAGGGGGGAGCACCGCCGCCTCATGCTGTAACGCGATGACGCCTCCGCCGGCGCCTCCGCCGTGAATTCGGAGCTGCGCAAGAGGCTGATCAGAATACCCTCCGTCGGCGACGCGTCTGTTGTGTGGTACGGACCGGCTGCCGCCGGGGTTGCCGTACAGGTCCATGGGTTGGCGGCATGCGGCAGCCATTGGGCTGAGAGCGCGCGGCCCTAGCGGTGGCTGGGGCTGCAGGACGCCGCCGCGGGGGCGGAAGCCGCCGGCGCCACCGGTAGCGGCGGCACCGGCGAAGGGCGAGACCAGGTGCTCGATTGGCGCGGATACGTCGCCGCCACCACCACCGCCGCCGCCGCCGCCAAGCCGTCCGCGCAAGTGCTGTCCAGCGTTGTTGGAGGCGATCGGGTCGCCGCGTGGGTGCCCGCCGCGCTGCGATGGGGAAACGCCGGAGCTGCTGAGCTGCTCGTCCATGCCGTACATCATCTGCCGGTTCCGGGCGCGGGGTCCTCCGAGGGGTGAGGGACCGACGCCGCCGCCGCCGGTGCCGGGTGGACCACGTGCGGCAGCGTTACCTGGATGAAGCATGGCATGCTGACGTGGACCGTTGACAGCCCCCGTGTGGTGGTTGTGATGCGCGCTCAGGGCATGGCCCTCCGACATCCGCGGCGCTCGATCCGCACGACTCGTCGGGAAATTGCTGAAGGGCCCGTCGACAACATCGGCAGCGGCGGCGGCGGCGGTGGCACCGCCACCGCTGACGGTGTACCCGCACCCGTAGCCGTACCCGCTCCCCAGCGTCTCCGCCGCTGAGTGCCGACGTGCTCGCCGGGCTGCGACAGGTTGCTGTGGGATCACGAGTGCGGGCGGCCGGTTGCACGTGTAGCCGGGGTTCGCGGCGGCGCCGGCAGGCCCCCTGCCAGATGCGCCGACCCTGACCGCGCCACTGCCGCCGCCGGGCACCGCGCTGGCGCCGGAAAGGCCCATACTCATCTGTCCGAGAAGTGACGACTCGCCCTCGGGACCGCCGGCCATCAACGTAAGCGCTGCCGCCTCCGCAGCTCGGTACAGACCTGCGTGTACGGCAGCTGGCGGCGCCGGCGACAGCCGTGACGGAGTGTACCCACCGCTGCCGCCACCGTTGACCTGGGTCCCGGGCCCCGGCCCCTTGCGGGCGTTGCCGCCGGATGCTGCTGCCGCTGACGCCGCCGCCGCCGTGGGTACGGGGGCTTCGCCACGCATCCAGCCTCCGTCATCGTCACCCATCTCACCAGCAGACGTCTCGCCGCCGCCCCGGCTGTTGCATTCATCAAACCAGTCAAATGACGACAGACGGCCGCTGCCGGACTGTACGGCAGCGGCCGACATGAAACTTGTACTAGGGATCTGCCCGTTGCGGCTTCTGCCTGCTTGCGATGACGGCGGCGGGAGTTGCTGTTGTTGTTGCTGCTGCGGCGGCGGCGGCAAGCCGACGCCCCAGGCCGCCGGTATCTGCATCCGCCGCTTGGCGTTGGCTCCGCCACCCCGGCCGCGAACCCCATCGCGCCGCTGCTGCTGCAGCTGCTGCTGTTGTTGTGCGGTACTAACGGTATCTGGGGGGTAAGCAGCCATCATATTCTGTCCAGCTCGGTGCCGCTGGGCCTTTGCCTGCGCCTGGGGCTGTCGGGGCCCGTGAGCTCGTCCACCCTGACCCGCGGCCATGCCGTCAGTATGGCTCTTCACGCCGCCGCCGGCGCCCCAGCCCTTCGACCCGGCAACAGCGACATCGGCAGGGCCGCCGCCGCCACCATTATCGTACAGCTCGTCTTGATCGTCTATTTCCTGGACGAGCATCTCCACAAATTCCGGGTAGCTGATGCGGCCATCGGCGTCTCGATCGACACGGGAAAGCAGCGCCTGGCGGGGCGAGACGCGTTAGCGGGGGGGGGGGGGAGAAAGACGAACCACGAACGAGTGAAGCTGCTGCCAAGGGATGGGAGTATACAAGAAGCAGAGAACTGACTGTTAGCGGGGGCCCCGGGGGGGGGGAGACATGAAGCATCAGCGGGTACCAGTGCTTAAGTCGGCTTATGTGGGGCCCAAACTCAAGGCCAGCCTCTCCTCCGATGAGACACACTACAGGATGCACCCACCATCCTAACAGCCAAAAGCTTTCAAAGCAGATGCACTGGACAACAGCACGGACAACTGGCACGCACATGCACACACCAGCTGGAGGTTAAAGGGGTTGCTTGCAGCAGCAGCAGCAGCAGCAGCAGCAGTAGCCGCAGCACTGGGCAGTTTGTGCGCCGACTTTCCGCGCGGCTCGGGTTCGCGCCGGTCGGTGGCAAGACCCTCACAGCCCCCCATTACACCACCCACACACACCCCATCCCATCCCACGTACCACTCCAACACGTGAAACAACATCCCACACCCGTTTTGGCCCGTCCCGGTCCCTGTCCGAGCTACACACCTGGCGGACCCCACAGAGCCTCACACAGCTCCGGCCCCGGTCCCTTTCCCCCTGAGGCCATGAACCTCTTAACCAAGCATGCATATGTAACATACCCTGATACCCCGTACGACCCAAGTACTCTAAAACCCTGAAGACCGTGACACGCACACCCCAGGCCCTACCCCGATATCCGGGCCCTGGCTCTCCGGGTGGTGTGCCGCCAGCGCCGACCGGAGCTCGTCCGGGGTGATGAAGCCCGAACCATCCGCGTCAAAGTGTGCGAACGCCGCCGCCAGGGGGGTGTTGGCAGCGGCTGCCGTACCGGTGCCTACCCGGCTGCCGGGTCGCGCCAGGGCAGCAGCGGCCAGCGCCTGCTGCGCCTGCCTGGCAATGACAGCGGTGGGGAGGGCTGCCCCCAGGAACTCCGACTGGTCCAGCAGCCCGTCGCCGTTCAGGTCGGACCTATGAACCACGGGTAGGTGTGTGTATGTGTGTATGTATGTGTGTATGTGAGTGTGTATGTGTGTGTATGTATGAACATGCATGTATGAATATGTTTGTATGTTTGTGTCTGTCACATTCCTATATTTGGTGGTGGCGGTGATGACAATGCTACAATAGTACTGGTACTGGTACTGGTCAGCCCATCGACACATCCCTCCTTTCCCCCCCCCCCAGCACACACGCCCCTGCCCACCTGTTCACAAGCTCCCGCAGCTCATCCTCACGGAGCGGCCCCGCCCCCGCCGCCGCCAGAGGGAACCGCGACTGCAGCTCCTGGCGAGCCAGACCGTCCTTTGAACACGACCCGACCCGACACGGTCGATGCCGCCGAATGCCGTACACAACACAGTACGGAGCGGAGGGCGGCCGATAGCGGCAGCATGGATGGTAGGGGGGGAGGGCGGCTCGTCAAGACGGAGGAAGCAGTCCGTGTCACAAGCAATGCGGCACCAAGTCCCGGCGGTATTAACGCCACCGGGGTGAAACAGCGACCCGGCGAAACAACGCTACCGCCACTTCCAAGCCCCCTCCAACTCCAAGCCCTCACTCACCCGCAGCTCCTGCACATTGAGTTTTCCGTCCCCGTCTGCGTCCAGCGCCTTAAACTGCGCCACCAGCCCCGCCACCTCCTCCGGCCGCATAAGGCTGGCTACGACGCGGCGGGCTTCCTTCTTGAACGAGTTCATGCGGGCAAAGCGCCGCATGCGCTCCGAAACTACGCCCGGCAGCGGTGATGCAGATGCCGTACAGGAAGAAGCAGTACGGCCCAGCCAGGGCGTGGCAAGCAGCTGATCTGCCGTGGCTCTGCGGGATGGGGGCAAAAAAAGCAAAGAAACCCACAGGGTTAGTATGGGATTTTCTTTGCGAAGACGGTGGTGGTTCACATTTATCTGATGAACGACGGGTTCTGACGGTTCGCCCAGAGTAAAATTGGCCGATAGTTAACTTTCTGTTCGGCGTTACCTAGAAAAACAAACATTTTTGCGCCTTCTCAAAGCGCGCCGAGCGATTCGCAACCTGTAATGGACTGCCCCACCACCCCAGCTGCCTACCACCTCAAGCAGGTTCCGCGCGTGTGTGTGTGTGTGTGAAGGCCATTGCCGCTGGCATCTGCTCCTCCGAGCCCAACCCCTCAAACCCCCCTACACACAAGTCTCCCCCCCTTACCCACAAACGGGCCCCCCAGCCCCCGCTCCACCCACCCACCGCTGTGCGGGGTCTCTGTTCAACATGGCGGTCAGCACCGCAGTGGCCTCGCGGCTGATGGACTGCCAAATGGGGTCCGTGGTCAGATCCAGTTTGCCCTGGGGGAGAGCGGGGAGAAGGCGAACCACGCGAGCGAGTGAAGGTAATGCCAAGGACAGACTGATGCGCCCCAGAAGTAAAGAAGGCATAGCTAAGGGGGAGGGAGGAGGGGAGGGAGGCAGGTGCAGTCAGGAGAAGGGCCCCGGGGAAATGCGGAGGGGTTTGGGGGTTTGGGTGGGTCAGCAGATGTGCGTGTGTGTGTATTGCGTGTGGAAAGCAAGAACACACCTGCATGACCACGCAAGCAATGGACCCGATGGTGGGCCCAGGGTGAGGGTGCGGGCAGGCGGCGAAAGGCACGTGCTGTGTCCTACCCGCACCTAATGCGCTAATTCAAGCCGCGGACGCCCGGGCGGAACCAAATACTCCACTCCACTCCACCCAACCCCACTCCACCCCGGCCTACCGCCTGCACCGACCGCAGGATTTCCTGATCATTTCGCCCGTCGAAGGGCGCATAGCCGGTCTGGGGATGTTGGCAACACAGGGGTTGGGAAGTGGTGGGGGTAGCAACACCAATGAAGACAGAGAACATCCAGGGTGACGGTTTTAAGTAAGTTGAATTTTCAATTGAGGCGTAGCCCGTTTTTGCCGAGGATGTAAAAACGGAATGTGGCGACAAAGCAGCGGGTCACATTACGGGTCGCAAGGACATTCAATATGCATGGGTCTTCCCCCTTTTCAACGATGCAATTTGTGGACGATGGTGGAAGATATACGCAGATCTTCACAGAGCCCTCCCGCAATCCCTTAGGCAGAGGCCCTGCCGGCCTCATTAAGGGCGCCCCCCACCCCCCACCCCCCACACCCCCCGGGAGCTGTCTCACCAGCAGGATGTGCAGTATGACCCCCGCGGACCACACATCCGCCGACCGGCTGTAGCTCCGAGCCAGCACCTCCGGCGCCACGTAGTACGAGGTACCCACGGTGTCGGTCAGAGGCTGAGAGTCTGGATCCAGAGGATCCGAGCAGCCGCCGCGACGAGGCACGGTGCCAAGAGGCGACAGCGACATGCCAGTAATAATTCAAAATTTTAATTCGTAAAGGGATTAATCTGCTACCGATGGCAGTAAAATAACAAACTCATAAAGTTTATAAGAGCTTGTAACGAAAAAGACGTCATTATCACTATCGTCATATCAATAAATGGGCAGAAGCAACAGAAAAAAATTATGCACCGAAGCAGCTGTGTTACCGGAGCTGCCGTGAGGTATGTTGCACATCGTTGTTACACCACTCTAGGCTGGGGCCTCTCGCAAAGCAGGCCCTGTATACACCTTCCCCTCCCCTTTACACCAGCCCCCCCCGGCGCACAGCGGGTATTACACATGCAGGCAAACACCCACCCACCCACCCACCCACCGGTGCAGAACACTGACAGCCCAAAGTCGATGAGCTTCAACTTGGATCCCAAGGACCCGTCATCTCCTCCTCCTCCTCCCCCGCCTGCTGAGGGAACCAGACCCTCAGACTGCTCCTGGCCGCCACCGCTGCCGCCGCCACCTCCGGAGGCTGCTGCTGCTGCCGCCTCAGCGACCAGAGGATGCAACGGAGCGGTCAACATGAAGTTCTCCGGCTTGATGTCCTGTGGGGCGGTGAGGGAGAGACGAAGGGGGGGTGTCATGGCAGTGGTGAAGGGGTGGGGAGGAGTGGCGGTTCGAGTTCATGTTAGCGGGGGCGAGGAGCCGCAAGACGAGCGGCGCCTTAGCGAGGGCAGGCAGCAAAGAGCACAGAGCAACCGGAAACCAACCACACGGCGCCGCCAAGCGCGGTGCTATTCACCATGCACCTCCCAGCATCCAGTCGATGGATCCAGAATGCCAGGGAGCCCGGGGGGAAATTACCCAGCGGGAGACGGACAGACAGACAAACAAACGCAAAGGTGGGCCCCTGCATCCCCGCCTGGCTCCACCCTCACACCCTCTCCAGGAAATACCCCCAAACACGCCCTCCCCTCCAAAACCGCCTTCCTCCTCCTCCTCCTCCACCGCCCTCGGGAAGCGGCATGCACACGCACCCGGTGTGCCACCCCCATGGCGTGGCAGTAGGAGATGGCTGTGAGCACGGTACGCAACACGTCCGCCGCGGCCCGCTCGCTGTGGCGACCGACTGAGATGATGGCGTCAAAGAGGTCCCCTCCCTGGAGCCATTGCAACCGAGCGGTAAGCCGTTATAGGGAGGGCGCGTCATCTTCAATAACATATGTTTTTGCGTAAACGTAGTACAGGATGATAGAATGCCGTAATGCAGGTATGGACTCTAAACAGGACACTGACTTTGATTGAACGTTGTAATAAGGCACCTTTTCAGGGAGCACCATCGGGAAGCCACCACCCAGCCGCTACGGCAGAGCCTAGAAACCAGGTCGTCAAGGAGTTCTCAGAATGTGGACAACGGCGGAGGAGGAAAATGTTGGAGGATGGCGAATGTTCTGCTCCTCCTCCCCCATCCCCTCCCTCCCTCTCAACCTCCTCATCCCCCTTCCCATCCGCTTCCCAAACCATGGAAGAAGAGCAAACCCAATGTAAAGCACATAAGTTAACAAAGCACATAAGTTTAACACAGTCCTGCACCGAAGAAAACCCAAGTCCCAAGCCCCCTTTCCTCCCACCTGGTAAAGCTCCAGCACCAGATGCAGCTGGCTAGGCTCCTCATACACGCCAAGCAGCTGGGAGATGTGCGGGTGACCAGACAGGTGATGCAAGATCTCCACTTCGCGGCGCAGCGCACTCACGTCGTCGGCGGCCAGCAACGACTTCCGAATGGTTTTCACGGCGACCTTGGCCCCGCTGGCAATGTGAGTTGCGGCGCGGACCTGCAAATAGCCGGCGGGACAGGGCCTCGCTGGGTTTCTTGCGCCAAGAGTACCCCGCGGCCCCAGAAGCTTTCAAAACAGCACTCCGGCCCCAGTTTGTTGAAAAAAGGCCGCACACACACACCGCTGTGTGTCCACCCATGTGCGAGATGGAGTCCCCGCATGTTACAAGCTCGAGCTCCAAATCGTAAGCCATGCCTTACGGTCCCGTACCCACCCGCAAGCACACATGGGCCCCCCCCATGCGCCAGTGCCTAAGAAACGCAAGAACATGTGCACTGGAGCCCCGCCCCCCGCCAGCCTGGCCCCACCCACCACTCCGAAGCTGCCCTTCCCTAGCACGTCCCCAAGCACGTAGGCGCTCTCCACCGGGGGCCCAGGACGGATCACCCATTGCACCGTCTCTGAGGGCCCAGCAGTGGCAGTGGGTGCGCTGGGGGCCGGGACGGCCGGAGCCTGGTCGGCATCAGCGCCACAGCCCATAGCGGGCGCGGGGGCGACTGCGGCCTCTGTCGCTGGTATTGCCACCGCGGTCGCTGGCTGCGGGCCCGGCGGCGTGGAAGCTACTGTGGGCACTGCGGCAGGCGCAGCAGCAGCAGGTGGAGGCGGGGCCGTCCAACCGCCACCGTCGGCTGGCGGCAGCCTGCCCGCGGCCCCTGCAGCACGTGGGGATGTGGAGAGTATCGTGCCGTCAGCCTCCGCTGGATTGCTGCTGCGTGGTATTCGGGACGGACCACCGACCGGCCACATATCCGAGTCGGCCCCATCTGAAGTAGGGGATGTGACTGAGAAGGGCGACATTGCCCCGCTGCCCGAGCTGCAACTGGCGCCGGCAGCCTTCCGCCGCCGCTGCGACCCGTCCGGTGACAGCTGACGGCTTTCCTTACGAGGCTGATCCTCGTTCCCCTCAGTTTCGTCCATGCTATCCGTTGCCTGGTTGCGTACATGGAAGCTGCGGACACAGCTATCGCCCGCTTCGGCGTCCTCGGCCACCACCTCCATGCAGCTGGCCACCTCCACTTTGGCTGTGTCCGTAAGGTGATGACCCCGCTGACCGCTTTTTTGCCCGGGATCTGCGTTTGAGGGTTGCCATGCGACGGCGCTGGCGCTGGCCTGCGCTGGCGACGGCAAAGGCTTGGACCGGTTACGGCCACCGAGCCGGCCGCCGCGGCCTGCACTGTCAACTTCTTCATCGTCGACGTCTGTCAACGCATCTTTCCTGGCGCTGCTGCTGCGTTGCCGGTAGCTTCCTTGTCGCCTCTGGCTGAGGCTCTTCATTAAATTGCGCGCCGAGGTCTGCCAGGCAGTTTTGGCCACTGTCCGCAACTGGCCCCCTGTATTTGGACTCCCTGCTGATGAGGGTCTGCAAGCTGCTGAGTCGGTAGTGCCGTGCTGCTCATTTCCGACAGCGACGCCTTTGGAGCCGCAGCTGCCCATCTTTGTCAAATTTATCTGACGCTGCACAAAAATTGAGTGCTGATCGGCCTTACGTTTAACTCCAGTGATTAAAAAGCAGGACGCCAAGTTTACTGAGTCACAGATACAATACCTGATATTATGCAGCGTTATGAAGCGTTCGCTATCCCCAAAGTGGCGGTGTACGTTCATGCAGTCAATAGCAGAGCCCTGGCAGCCTGCATGGCAGGCGAAGTGCGCTCGCCACCTAAGCTACTATCCATCTACGCCCTAGCTCTAATAAAACGCTTTTTGAGCATGGAACAGTGCGGCTGACTTGAAGTATTTCCAGCTAGAAGGCTAAAAGGACCATTCAAAAAGAGCGAGGTAAACGTTGTTATTGCGGAATACAAGCATAAGCTTGTTACAAGGTATGGTATGAACCAGTTTAATTGCGCATAACGAGTCCTGTGGGGCATTACTGTTAGGCGCTTCCCATGAGCTTCGTCAGTACACATGGGATTAAGCAACAGCTTCTACTCGCATACAGAATCCCGAAAACATAAGCTCCTTTGCACCATTCTATCTAAACCTTTTGCAGGAATGCCTTTGGTGACAAGGACGACCCGGGGTTCAAAACAACAAAAGTTATTGGTTAGGATTTGATACTTATTTTTCATTCAAAGAACGGAATTGAACAAGAGCTTGCACAGTAAGGCCTCAGAACTGGCCCGAAGAGGCACTCGCCTGTAAGGAACCGAATCTGTCCCGGCTGCCGTACACGCCCTGCATCTTTGCCTCACTGAAACTTGCATTGTCAAAGCGGTTCATGAGCCTCCGGGTTCGTTTGGGCCGTACGAGCTCGCTGAAGCATGTAACATCCATCCATCCAAACTTGCATTGTCAAAGCGGTTCATGAGCCTCCGGGTTCGTCTGAGCCGTACGAGCTCGCTGAAGCTTGTAACATTCATCCATCCACTAAAATTTGGCGTCTAATGCATCCATAATATGAAACGAAGTCCATCAATGCTGCTGCACGTATTTGTTAGCTGTAAGGAGCACGTCGGCGGTCTGTCCACAGATCACCGAGCTGTCCGCTTCCTTTCCTGCTTACTGCTGCGCCGTACCAAACAGGCAACAGTAGGCACAAGGAGTCTGTGCTAGAGTCGGAATGATCGTGCCGGTACCTAGGCTGTCCTGTCTCAGTCAGGTATCCGTTACGTGAAAGTTATCTTAACACGTCACCTTAATGACTGACTCAAATAGCTACGGAAAGGTTGGGTACGGAGGTCGGCAAATCGGTTTCTACGGCTGCGGGAGGGCATGATTTCGGTCAGTGAACCTAAAATAATTCAAAGCCAAACACAGGTTTAAGTTCAGCGCGCGGCCCTACGGCCGCAATAGAGGCTGCAAATCACGTCTTTTGGTCAATTTTTGGTCATTAAAGAGCCGCAGCCGGGGTTTTGAGCCGAATTACGGCTGCGGGTACTGTGGTACGGACCCGCAGTACCCGCCTTATTTGCCGACCTCTGGTTGATTAATAGGCTATCCCTCTGCGCGCCTTACTGGGTTCGCGGCAACAAATCACGCTCCCCAAGGCTGGTAGTCTATACCGTCTTCGAGGGGTGTGACAAACTATTTGCCAGGGACCCAACAAGCAGCAAATTTAAAGGTTTTATGCCTTTCCTGACTTCAACTGTGTGCTAGATAAGGCTATATCGTCAGTGACGCTGTGGTATGTTTGGCCGTGTATGGCCGTGTATCGCACACAGGGTTAATGTGGAGTTGAGGTCACAGTTGATGGACCAAGATTCGCACGCTGGATTGGTGGCGAATGCTGAACCCTCTGTCTCTACGGATGTTAGGGTGACATGATGAGGAGGGATTCTAGAAGGCAGAATCGACCGCCTTGGACTTGCAGTTCGTCTGGCGTAGTACAGTGTGGTAGTGGTGGATGGTGCTGTATGGTGTTCAATCCTAGATATGACATTCCAAATCTGTCTCATTGGCCCAGATGCCTCCCACGCTGTAACAACAACACAGGGTTGTGCGGTTGGCGCTCGGTGGGCATTGCACACGAGCCATTCGGGCGCCACTGTAACTAGTAACCGTCTACTTAATGAAGCAGAGGCACGATGTCGCGGCTATTTCCAGGTATTACAGAAGGTAGCAAATTTCGGTCCTGATTACTACCACAACGTACAGCCCCAGCTCATTTGTGCAGGGCATAGCTGCCGCTTTAAAGTTGCGTAATACGCGCTGCGCATCTCTGTAATCCCAACCCACCGGCCCTCCTGCCTCCATGGCCCTAGCAAAATGTACAAATTCATCATGCAAAGTCACGAACTAACCTACGGTTAAGTGAAAGGTGTAAATCGGCGCAATGAGGGTATGCTAGCCACCGCACGCCGGAACGAGGGTCAAAAGGGTCACGAATGCGCTTGCAATCGATGCTAACCGTGGTGGCGCACAGCCTAGCATTTCATTATACTGCTGACCTTGTTTCGGTACGCGGTACGCTCACCACAAGGGCGGGTATTCGTGTATTGGACGTGATACCAGCCGCTACAGCGCACGATCCCGCCGATTCGCGCCTGCCTATGTCATATACAACGAGGGAACGGCATTCTATACGTAGCTAGAACTTTGGTCCAGGAAGGCCAGAAGCGCGCCCCTCGAAAGCGCGCTGCTGGTTGGATGCGCACGCAATTCCATGCACAAAAGCGCGCTAGGCGACACGCGCGCTAGGTACACGCAACCATCAGTGCACAATGCCCAATACACGTTCCAGCTTGGCCTTAACCTCAGCGACCATGAACCATGCGACGGTCGACGCGCGGTAGTACTCATAATCGTGCGCTGTCTGAGGATAGATGAGCGTGAGAGAGGTCTTCACCTGTTCCATCTTGACGCCAGCCTGCATAACGGACATGTAAGCGAAACACGGGAGAACAATTGGGTACTTGGCCAAAAGCCTCTACTACGGGCACGGCTGCCGTGTTATCAACGCAAAATCCTTTGTGGGTCCAGCCTCTGGCTTCTCGTTTTCCTCACACATCATGTATTGTTACCTCACACAACCCAACCTTGCCCTCCCTTAGCCCCTTGCCATACCTGCATCCAGCGTTTAAGCAGCTGGGGCCGAGGCACGCAGAAGCCGCAGCGGATGCCATTCTCGATGGCGTGATTGCAGAGCGCGTACAATAAGCCGATGGACATATTCAGGCGGTCCACGGAGCTCCACGTGATGGTGTTGTCCTTACTGGCTTCTGCAGGAGTAGGTCGACAGGTAAGAGTGTCAAGGTTGGGAATCAGTCTTATCAGACAAGGACGGACGACGCCCAACTTAATTAGCGTGGATGCTTCTGAAGCGAAAGGTGAAGCTTGCGTACGTAGGTAACACAGTTCACGAGCCGGAGAAAATAAACAATCACGAAACATCCGCTTGTGCTTACCCGCAGCTGCTAGAGCCTGCTCCTCCGTAAGGCCCTCTGCCAGCGCAGGACGGACGCTGGTATGCGGAATCTGCAAGCCCCACAGCTCGATACGTTCATCGACACCGTAGTACCTGCGGTTCAGAGGCCACGACAGGTTCTTTCAGCTCATAATGTCAGGCGGTGCCAAAACATTCCAAATCATCATGACTCCCCCGCGGAGCGCTTCGCATTACCCTCGTGAAAGGTTTATTGCTACAACAAGTAACGCATTCACTCACATCCGGCTGATCCGGCTTCTGGCTGATGCCTCTGACCGATGCCTTACCGGAGGTCGTCTGGATCGTCGAAATCGAAGATGCAGGACGCGATCATGTTGGTTCCGAAAGTAGCCATCAGGCAGCCCACGGCCGGTCCAACGGCCTCCTTCATCGTAGCCTCGCCAGTCGCAACAGTGAGCAATGCGGCTGCCATGTCGCGACCAGGGTTGACCTACGATGGATTAGTCGCCCGGTTAAATGCGGTGACCGGCTCTCTAACCCGGGCCCAAATCCCATGCAGCAACTTCCCAAGGATTCTGTAACACGTAACTGCCGCTCATTAAGACACTGCTACGTAGGTAGCCCTGTTGAAGTCAACTCTGCGCACAGTGACATACGCACCTCTAGTCGCGCGAGCAGGTACGTCATCTTGTCCGACGCCGGGAGTGGAGTATTTTCCGGCAGGAGGCTTATGACGTCTTTGAAATCTTCCTTGGTGCAGGCTTTGAAGACCGCCAGCGTGTCGTGTTGATTCACCTGCAACGGCCAGACGAATGACTCCTGGTTTACAAGCAAAGCAGGGTAGCTAAGGCCATCTGCGTATTCGACATCAGTACACACGTAACCTCGGGCCTTATGCATAGGTTGTCGAACAATAGTTGGTTTTCGGCCTTAGCAGCGTGTTTGTAAGCGATTTTTCAGATGTCAGCTGCACACTACGCCCGGCTAGGACATGACAGAGTACCACATCAAAGTAGCGCAACCCTAACTCCAATATATACGCACGCGGTTATACCTTGAAACGCGCCAGTAATTTCGGCACCTCGCCTTCATCCAACAAGTCGTAGCCTCCACCATCATCTGCACCTGCGCCCTCATCTACACCACCGCTGTCTGCCGGGTCCACGCCATCCACGTTGCCGCTGGTTCCGGCACCCTGCTCAAGCTCTGTGAGTGAGACCTCGCTGCCGCCCACGGCTGCAGGCCCACCAGCACCATCAACCCCTGCAAGAGAGTAAGGCAAACTGCGCACATTGACGTCCTCAAGCAAACTTGCACGTGCCTTACGTTTGCATATGTTACCGATATGTGGGCACATCCAGTCGATATGAAAGGTCAGGGAAAGTAGCTATTACATCTTGCGGCACCACATTAATAAAAGTAAACGATACCTCCTGTGGATGGCACGGGATAATAGCGTTATGCCGCGCACCTTGCTTCTGTGCCCGTCGGAACTTGGATTTGGATGCCGCTGGTGCGCTACCCTCCTCGCCCTTCCCAGCTGATGGATCCTCCTCAGCGAACATTGAGTCATCGCCGCCGTTCGCGTCTCCACCCGCTCCGTCCGCTGATGGATCCTCATCAGCGAACATCGATTCATCTCCATGCTCTCCGCCTGCATAGTCTTCCGTGCCATCGCCATCCTGCAACGCGGTAGGTCAGTAGGCGCCAAAGACAAACACCCAGTCACACATCAGCGGAAAGAGATGCCCATGTAACGTTTGGGCGTAGTCTTCACGGTGGTAGTGTACTGCCATCGTGAAGACAAATACAGTCCTTATTGCCAAAACCTTGCTCACCACGAAGTCGTCCGTTCCACCGTACTCGCTGCCCGCTGTGCTGCCCACTCCCTCCCCGCCCTCGCCTCCAGTGCCCGCTTCTTGAGATGCCAGCCAAGCGGCGAAGCTTGACTTTCCGACTGCTTTCGCTGTGGAGGTACCTGGCCGTGGACCTGTGTGAAAGGCAAGAAACAAGGAGCAATGAAATATGAATTGCGTTCTGCACACCTAGCAATGCATGTAACGTACCACCTTTACGCTAATACGCTCTTAACAATCTTCTCCTGGTAAGACCCTGAGCAGCAGAGACGTGCCGTATACCGTATGTTAAGCACAGTCGATCCGACGTATGTCGGCCGCCAAAACCCAAGGCCCATTGGATTTTTACCGGAGGTGAGTCACCTCTGGCACATAAACATGATCTCGTGTTCTGGATCACCTGCCACATACTGCCGTAAAATGTGAGTTACTCACGTGAAGTTGATGGCGTGCCGCTGGGGGACTCGTCGGTCGTCGGTGGAACGCGGTTGCGGCTGCTGGCTGGTCGTGCCAAATGTGGCCGACGTGCTGACGCGGGCCCCGCGGAGCCAGCACCACCCAGGCTGTCCACGGAATTGGTCATTTGATTGCTTATCCGTAGACGTGTGCCGAATCCCTTCAACAATTCATCTCCAATGACCTGCAGTAAAGAGACACCAGCCGCCACCTTAGCAAAACAATTCATCGCATGCAGACCCATGGCAGGAAAGACACGTATCCAAGCGAAAACCCTTAAGAACACGGCGCTGCTGCTCCAAGAGACACTAGAGATACACAAGTCCAGAACCGTCCCTGCACTCCAGTGCACCATATCTTTATTTCATTAAGGACTCTCAGCGCACCTGGTCCGTAGGGATGCTAGCCGCCGCGCCTCCAGCAAGACGTCGACGCAGCTCGTCGTATTGCGTGGCACGGAGCCGCTGGAAGCCCTTCGCCTTCATTTGCTCCTCTCGTAGGGCAGAGAGGGCCGCAGCGCGCTTAGCCTCCTTCTCTTTGCGTTCCCGCTCGCGGCGCTCGCGAACCTCCTTCAGCTTCTCATGATCCTCAAGCAAGGCCTACACAGCAAACAGGGCGTTGCATCCATGAGGATGTTCACCTTACCGCAAAGGAAAAGTCCTCCAACTGCACTCCCTGATACACTTCCCAACTATCCAGACCCTTTGATTGACGACCGTATGCATCACCAAGACCGTACCTGTAGCTGCATCATGCCCAGCGAAGCACCCATTCCGGCCTGCGGAATGACCGGCAGCAAGTCCTCCTCCAGCGTTGTGAACCTAGCGTTAGTGTCACGGTAAAACTCGTCAGGTGCTTTTCCTTCCATTGACGAGGTTGAACAGGGCAGTACGTGAGAATGCTCATCATGATGGGCCCCAACGAAGGCAATTAGCACGCAACGTACGTTGCAACATCCCAAGGACAGCCGAACCAAAACCCCCATGGAGAACTCACCTGTTCGGTAGCGGCTGGTTTTTGATCTTGCAGGCGCGGTTGGCATACTTCAAAGTGTTATTCGTTTCCTCGAAGTCAGACTCAGAAGGGCTGATGCAGCTGATGAGGACTGTGAGACTGTTGCCGCCCAAGGAATCCTGGCGTCCATGGGCGTGGAGGCAAATGAGCCGTCACGAGTTGAGGAGATATGGGACTTACCAAGGCAGCGCTGCGCTTAAGGTGCATTAATTCACATACACATATATAAGACAGCGATATCATCAACTCGACGTACCTGGAGCAAGCGCGTGAGTTTTGAGTCACGATACGGAACATGTGTCGCCTTCTTCTTTTCCCCCGCCCCCGCTTTCCCAGTCCCATCCTTCTCATCGCCAGCAAGCGCCACGATGACGTTTCCAAGGGCCAGGAGACCGCTGTGAGGATAACCACCGGAATTCGTTGGTCAAGGCACAAACATAATATGCGCAAGCGTTAAGTATGACAGCTGAAATGCGGAAACCTGTAGCTTGTGGCCTTTCACATGGAATCCTCTTTCTTTAAAGCCTGGACCACGTCCCGATCTTCCCGATAGTCAACCGGCATGAAACAGTCGTAGGTTACGTCCGACGAGTTGTTCCCAAAGTTGGCATACTTGCGGCCGCTGCTGCTTGTGAGCATGCAAAACTAGGAGCTGGCCTTAAGGCTGCCATTGCTTCGTATTTACCTGTTGATGTGTGTCGCCTCTTTCAGCTCTTTGCCCGTGACGCCCGATCGCTTCACGCGTTCGCTACCCGCAAGGTCCACGAGGTGCAGCTTGCTGGTAAACTCGCTGGTACGGACCTATGCAGCACCACAGCAGTAACGCAATACAAGCACGTTTAGGCGCCTGACCAATGCGTAAATGTGCAGGCATCGTACCGATCACTGGCACAACCCAAGATAACCCAAGGCAGTCCGAGCGATACCTTGGCTTTGAGATCGGCTCCCAGCTCATTAAGCACCTCCACGATCGTACGCTGCACTGTAATGGTGAAGATCGCGTGGGATCGGGACGACCTGTTTGGAATGACCCAAATAACGAAAAGCAATTTGAATTTAAGCGTGACATTTGACGCAGTGAAACGGTGGGCCGTCGACAATGTGATGAGCGGCGCCTTGGCCACACAGGAACCCGAGTAAAGCACAAAAAGGCATGCAGCGTGATCCCATGGCGATCCCCAGGGGCTGAAATGTCGTATCTGAATATACATTAGCCACAAATTTCAACACCTGGGGCGTGGACTACCTGTCGTTGAGCTTCGTAGACGACGTCGAGCGGTTCTCCATGCACAAATTGAAAAATGAGAGCAGCTCGTCCGCGTTGCTCACGACCCTCTCTGTCACGCCAATTACCTGTCAAGGCCCATCATCAGGATCCCATTACAGGTGGCCACAGACAAACTTCAAGCTTAATATGGATGGTCACGACACGGATAAAACATGCCATGAATATGATTGCGCTAGTGCAAGCACTCTCCAAAACTCCAAAGATTCCTGACCCCTGACCCAGCCCAGAAATTACGCCTTTATCGCATAATTCATTCCTTTGACTGGGTATAGGCGTCAGCGAATATCAAGCAGCATCTGCTACAATGGCTTCGCGCACGTACCTCGGGCACGACGCGTCCATCCTTTCCGACAGGCCGCTCCTGCAGTTTCAGAGCCGACGGATTCCCTCCCTTTCCATCCCAGCCCTTTGCTGTCTCGTCCCGTCCACCCGCCAGAGCAAGATCACGGAGATCTTCGTTGTACAACTCGAGGCCGTACGCTTCTACCTATAATGCAAGGTAGCCATGAGAATACAATGCACTTAGGGACATACATAGGGGCACGACGAATGCGTGCAACAACGGCCTTCTGAGCTGCATTTCCCCGCTTGAGGAACCTAGCAATCCTCAGGAAGCAAGTTATTCATATTAGAGAGCTGTTCGCCAACCCGGCACTTGCTCTGCCAGCTTTACATTCCCCGACCGCGTTGATTTTGACATATCCCCCCACCTGCGTCTTCTCTCCCGGCTTCTCCTTCTTGCGAATTGCCTCCGCGAGCGCGAAGATGTGCCGGATAACCCGTGGTGTGATACCTGTCACGGCGACGGCAGGCTTTCAGTACAAACAGCGGTAGCCCTCGTTGCGCATAGCAGTCCCCTACTCCCCCCACCTTACCCTCCTCGACAACACCGTGTATGCCCTGCCCTCCGGCCATTGTGTGCGTCTTGCCGGAGCCGGTCTGGCCGTAAGCCAGCACGGTTGCATTGTAACCCTGCATCATGCGTAATCTAAAGTTTAAAAAGCTATGCACACCAGACGGCCGTTGGATGTTTAGCGTGGTTGTTCGGATACCTTGAACACGGCCTCGACCAGCTGCGCCACGCAGTCTTCATAAATTGCATCGGAAGTAATGTCCTGACCATATCGCCGATCAAAAGCATACCCTTTGGCAGTTGCACCTCTGAGCTGCAGCAGCGTATTCTTGTCCACCGCCTGCAGCAGTGCATGCGGTCAAGCCTTAACCCACAGACGCCCAGCTTTCCGCCAGCATAGCATAGCTCACCGAAAGAACAACTTGCTTTGTTTCCTCATCAAAACTGACGCAAGCGCGTAGACCCTCGTCGCGTTCCCTCGGATTGAGGGGTCGCACCTTGCAATACAGACAACAGACAGCCACTTGCCGGCCTTCCCAAAGACCAACGCGGCTTCATCCAAGTAGCCACCAAGAGCTGTGCCACGTTACACTTAATATGGCCACGTACCCGGACGCATACTTGTATCGCCGAGGAGGGCTCCCCCCCCTCCTGCTCCGCCATAAGTTCAGAGCCGCTCTAAAATCTTAGCTAATTGCTAGTTGATGCTGTGTCGAAAGTGTCAAGGTGATTTATGCACAAGGAGTCCAACAGGCGATCACCAAGCAAAGAAGGATTGCGTCTTCAAACCAAAGTGTCAAGCTAGCTCAGTAACGGACGTGCTCATGTAAAGGTTGAAAGTATAACAGTAAAAGCGGCTTGCGAAAGGCTTCCGAAGGGGAAGGTCCCGGCGTACGGCTTTGCCGGGGTAGTGAAAGAGCAACTTGTAAACGGACAAACCGCGTCCGAACAGCTCCTGTACGCCAGATGCCTAAAATTCATGTTTGATATGCATGATACTATAATCACGTACATCAACTTGCGTAAATGAACCCTGAGGTGACCACCATTTGACCGTTAACGATGGTGCTGTCCGCCTTCCGGCAGGCCTTCACACAGTGGCGAGGCGGATTATACACGCATACATTCCCTGGGGACTCATATCAAGGGGTGCGAAGTAACTAGGGTAATCTGCGTTGCTCTGCCCTCTTGTATGGGCAGGCGGTCGTACCCGCAACACCCCTTTCCGACAACGTGGCGGTACCCTCTTTAACACCTAGACAAGAAACACCTCCATAGAGTAGTCAAGTGTTCCACCACATGCCTTTGCATAACGGAAACATTTGGAAGTGTGCAAGAATGATCCTAACAGCTCCGGGTGACAGCTGAACCTGACGATCAAAAATGGTAGTTCTCATCCTTACGTAAATAGCTGTGCCCAACGAGGTCATGTGCACTCCCGGGAATTGCCATACGGGAATTGCGGCCGCGCCATCGGCCCTTAGTTAGGATAGGTCCGGTCTAGAAACTACCACCAACCAACATTAACCACCTGAACCTTACAACGTGCTTTGGTGACTCACGGCATACTGCAAATGGACTTGCATATGAAGATCATCGTATATGGAGCTTACTCGTAGGCAGAAGCTATAGTCCAGGGCCCGGGTGCCATACATTCCCACATCATGTGTCATCAGCCTGTCGAAGGTTCCAGAGCTGTCCATGTAATGCGGCTTGCGTTATGAGCGAATGCTACGACTGCAAAATGCTATGCTTTCAAGATTTTCAAGGTATAACGTTCTTCCAGGTGACACCGAGTATGCAAAGTGCTATGTCGCCAGCTGCAGCCATCTCCAGAATACGCCGTACGGAAAGAACATTTTCTATCAATAGAAAGTTTGGCAATCTACAGATATTTCCTTTATTGGCAGTAACTATCAAACGTACACAGGCACTCTCCTTTTATTGCGATATCTCGTATTTTATCCCCACAACATCCTTGTTACATCAGCATGTTCGGGCGCGGAAGCCCGTTCGGTAGTTTGTTTGGGAATGACCCCTTCTTTTCAGACCCATTTTCGCAAGTGGACAGGATGATGAGCTCTATGTTGAACGATCCTTTTTTTGCAAATCCGTTAGGCATGGGCCTTCGGCCGCCTGGGAATCAAAATTTCCAGCCAGCTCAATATGCAAGGGTATGCTTGCTGCTCTGTTTCCTGAGCAAGGCAGGCAGCTTGCTCAAAGGGGTTCCATGTGTGTAGGGTCGGCAGCCCGTGATTGAGGAGGTAGACGATTCAGGACATGCAGAGATGACTGCAACCGCTCAGGATGAACCAATTGTGGAGGAGCCGGATGACGGTAGGTCTAGTGCTATCTCGCATGGCCAGGTTTCGCAGCGGCAACGCAAACTGAACGCACCGCCGTCGCGTCCAATATTACGCCTGACTTCCGGCTTTTGGTCGGGAGGTTGTGCTCGAGCTTGGCTATGCCTCTGGCCACGATAGCTCTTTAGCTCTTTTCGGTCGCTGCACAGTTCACCATTCACGTTCCCCTCCGATAGTTTAGTGAAATGGCTTGCATGATTCCGCCTTCCATGGCCTGCAGAGCCATCGCCACAAGACCGCGCGTCGCAGCGGCAGCGGCGCCACAGCCCGCCGCGGCAGCCCATGCCACATCCCCAGGTGGCGCCCATGGGTGCGTCTCACCAGAGGGCTGAGCGGAAGAGCGTGTCTTGTCGGGTCAGGGATGCATTGATGTTGCGATTGATTTCTGAGCCATGGGGTTGGGCTGTTCAGAGGAGGCGTTTTTTACGTATTTGCAGAAGTTGGAACGGCTCTGCGCTTTAGGACGGGTCGTTTGACAAAGTCATCGTCGCATCGGGAAATTTGTTGTGCTTGTGCCATATAAATCGTCGTCAGAAGTGGTTTTGACTTGATGGAACAGAAGCCTGACGCTCGGATACCTGCTCGTCCGGCTGTGCCATCTCCCACCTGACAGACCCCTTCAGCCAGCTGTTTGGAGCCCTCACCAGCGGCACTATGGGTGGCGGCGGCTCTTCCTTTATGCTCAGCAGCAGCAGCTATGGCACCATGGGGCCTGGAGGGGTGACCTATCAGGCGTCCCGCACTACGAGAGTGGGACCTGGAGGGGTAGGTCCGGAGTGTCGCTTCTCTTGAAGATTAGGGGAGAGTCCGAACGCCGGGCAAGTTATGAAATGACAGGCACTAGCTCTCAAGAGCCCTCTGTTACGGATCGGGAGTCAAGGTTGCTGGTATGCGACTTACGGGCAACCCTGTCGCCACCCAAGTATCCAATAGCTACCCGCTGGCGGTTATCGGCGGTGGAGTATCTTTCTGCATGATAACTCTCTCTTCAGCTCATCGCGCAGGAAATATTTTGCAAGTTCTTTCACCGGGTGTGCCTCTCGCTTGGTCCTGCTGTGTCTCGCTAGTATATCTGCCCACCCGCACATCGGCTGAATTTTAGATGTATTCGGTGCTGTCCTGTTAAGAATCTGTCCTTTGACTGCCAGCACTGGCGTTGCCGCGATTCTCATTTATTAGTGTCTCAGTCCGTTACTGAGACTTAACACCTCCCTGCCTTTGCATCGAAAGTCTCACAATGTGTCGCCCGCTGCGTCACCTGCAGGTGCGCGAGACGCAGTCGGTAGTTCGGGATGGCCGCAGCGGCACCGAGTCAGTCACTATCAGCCGCGGCCTGGGCGACGGGCGGCAGCGTACACTGGTCCGCACGCGGGACGCTATAACGGGCCGCGAGGAGCAGTTGGAGGACCTGCAGGGGCTGCGTGAGGTGAGGAAGAGGCATGGAAGCATGAATGTTGACGCGCGGTGGCGCTGAGGGGCCCTGGGTGATGCATAAATCTTAAGATCATAACTATGTTTTTTAGTCCAAGAATAGGAGAGCCGAGACAAGGCTGCGGGGCGGAGTGTTGATACCAGAATGGATGTGGTAGGGATATGGCGACTCCTCATCAATGAGGGAAAGCAAACATAGGAGCTGGATACATGTGCAGACTGTACTGGGGGCGGAAGAACCCATACAACTGAAGGCAAAGGTAGACCGCATTTGGCTCAGCGATTATTGAAAAGGGATGGCGTGGGATGGGGTGGGGTGCTACATGGCTTTTTCGGAGGCCAAATGCATTTGTTTCTGGGCGTCAGAGCAATGGGTGCACAAAGTCAGGCGCTTCAGTTGCGACCGTGAATTATTAGGTTCCATCGGATGAAATAGAGCCTAGGGTATGGCGGGATTGTCCGCCATTGTCGGCCGGGCTTCTACGTGCGTTCGGTGGCCGTGAGGGATCAAGAAAAATTACATCGGGACTGGGCTGGACCTCATGTGCTTGCCTTTACAAGGCAAGGCCCCCCGACCCTACACGTTTGCGCCCGGAACCCGCAGCACGAGGCGGAAGTGTTCGATGAACAGTGGCGTATGCAAGCCGAGCGCAACTTCCCTCTTGGCGGCGGCTTTGGCGCTGCGGGCCGCCTCGCCGCTGGTGGCGGTCGCGCCAGTGGCGCAGCGCAACAGCGGCCGCTGGCGTTGCCCCACGCAACGGCTGCTCCAGCCACGATGGCTGAGGCCGGTCCTAGTTCCAGCACGAATGGGGTGCACGGTAACGCCGGCCTTTCGGCAGCGCAGCGCGCCACGTACGCTCGTCCACCGTCGACGGCCACCGGCCGTGCCCCGGCGTCTAGTGGCGGCAATACATTTTACGCCGGGAACACTGCTGCTGCGGGCAACGGCGGCCGTGGTGGCACTGGATACAGCGGAAGTGGCGCGCATTATGGAGGCACCAATGCCGGCGCCGGTTATTCAGCCCCCCGAGGACGTGATCCCATGTTGGACGGGCAATACGGCATAAGCTCGCAGCCGCACGCGAATACGGCCGCGAGGTTGCCCTCCGGAAGCGGAGCGGGCTTCTCGGCAAGCGGTGGACATGCCCACTCGCGAGGTGGATACTGACGACAGTAGAGATCGCCCTCACAGCTCTGATGTACGTTCATTTCCGATGGAAAATATAAGAGCGCGCTGTATCAGTTCCTTTGAATGTACTCTTGAATGAGCTGCTGTGTGGTGACGATGGCAGTTGGCATTTGACTTTCACTCCTTTACGTGGCGTAGGCTGCCAGCGTGCTTCCGTCATGCCTATGTAGACTGCACGGGGCTGGGTTGTGTCTGGTGATAATGCTACAAGGATCGTAAAGCAGGCGTGTTAAGCGCATTTGTCCCGCGCCATGTGCGCCTAAAGGAGGAAGGCGAAAGCAAAACGGTGAGAATTGGTGTTCAAGCCTGCATCAATGTTGTGCCGTTTCAGGGTTGTGGATACGTGCACGTGTAGTTCCCATTGTGTTTGTTTGCGGTGCACCTGTCCTGTGTGTGTGTTTTTATTATGTATGTTGATTAGTTTGCGTGGGAACCAGTGCCATAGGTGTTGCCTGTTATGTTGATGCGCACGTGAATGCGGCGATGCCGACCAGGATGATGCAGCCTTTTGGATGAGTGCTGAATGGCGTTGCCAGGCGATGGCAAAACTAGTTGCGCGATGCCATGAGACAGGGGCACTGGATGTTGTGTGTGTGTGTGTGTGTTACATGGTCGTGGGTGCGTTCCCCGTACCTGCAAACCGCCCTAATACGAGCCGAGGGCTCAAGGGCTGCCAGATCGCCTACAAGCACCATCCTACCTCGCACTTTAGAGCAAGTGATAAAGGATGTGGAACGATGGCGATTGAGCCGGATTCGACTAACGTCTGATTATGTACCATACCATTGTGTGTCCTGAGCTCTTGCTCCTTGCATATATCCGTTTGATGGATTCTGAATGTCGTAGTTGTGCTGACGCTGTCAATCGTACCTATTGCCCCTTTCCGCCAAGTACTCAGGCAGAAGCTGCTGAAGGGGTTGGCTGCAACTGCGTACCCTGGTCACAGCTATTGAGCTAAAAACTTCTGTTGTTCAGATGCGGTCCGGGCGAGCATCGCCCCCAGGGGCAGAGATTGTGTTTCGCCGGGGGCAGCGTGCAGGTATGTGAGTGTTGTAGTCAACAGCTATGATGGGTGGCCGACGCGTGGTGTGCCTTGTTTAGTCAGACGGAGAGCCCCCTCGCAACCTACTATATTTTGTCTGCGCGTTCCCCTCGTCCTTTGATGCGTGTGGTGGGCCGGGGCGACGAATGCCAGCGGGCGGTGGGCCGGGACCGGCATGGCATGCCCTGCTGTGTGCTCCGTGCTGCTCGCTGAGGATGCGGAACGCCGGTGTGCCAGCAATTGCAATCCTTCAGAAGGTTGAGGAAAGCTGAGCAGAGTTCAGCTCGATGTATTTCGAACAGCTGGCATGCAGGTCTGGGCTGGCCACGGGTACAAGGCGCAATGATTCAGCGTTTAGTTAGCATAATCCGAGGCTTTGCTAGGGCCCGTGCCCTTGATGTCGAGTCTCCTCAGTAAAGCGATCTTAAGTAGTGCTGCCGGTAATTTTGGTGCTGGTAGTTGGCAGGTATTGGCAGGTGGAGGCTTCAGAGCTATGGTTCAAGAATAGTGGGGCTACTATCCCGACGCTTTAATGCTGTTGTAAGCTATACCTCACGACTGGGTAAAAATAATCTCTACGGCGTTTAGTTGTGGGTATGTCTGTTGACTTATGCAGCGCTACCGTATGGGCATAACGCTGCATACCGTATGGGCATGTTAAGTGCACGCGGCTCGTGTTCGACATGTGCATGTCATACACCGCTGGAGACACACTTTCGCCCGTGGTTTATGCGGTGTGGTGGCGAACCGTGTTGCGTGATGGGAGCACTACGGCGGCATTGATGCATGTACGTAGTTTCGTACATAAAAGATGTGACGACGACAGCAGCTGAAGATGCTTGCATTAGGTCTTCCGTGGGTTGCTATGAACCATGCCGCCTGTCCCTCACGCGAATTGCGCCTAACCAAGCATCCGCGCTGTGGTGCCATGCGCTGTGGAGCAAAAGTAGCTGCAGTACCGGTACTGATCCGGAAGTTACGAAAGGGGACGAGTCCATCAACTTCCAATGGGATATATCGTTTTGCCATCGGGTTAAGTCTCGGCGGCTCCATCTGTCGACAGTCTTGCGTTGGAACTCCAGGAGTAAGCTGGTTAGCGGCATTCACGTCCGTTCACAATTTTGAGACACAAACTCCGTTGAACGCATTTCACGCGCGCTGGAAACCACATTGCTGTGGTTTGTGCGTTATCTTCCACTTCGGCGGACTTGCAGGAAACAGAACGGCTGGCGTGCCGACAGCCTGCAGCTAGCGCGGTTTGGCTCGCGGCTGGGGAAATCAGCTTTCTGTCATTTATTAACCGACACACAACAACGGCTTTCAACTTAAGTTTATTGCTCAGTCCTGCCGTGTTGCGTTACAATAGCTAAGCCGCCAACCGCCAGCGCAATTTGGTAGCAAAACAACCCGGCTGCGAAACCCCCTCCCAACACCAACCCATTGAGAAAGTTGCACTAGTGGCCGATAGTGCTGGCAGTTACCTGTGTTGCACCGTTAACGAATCCTAGGACCTCAAGGGCCCCGGCAAGGGCCGAAGAGCCACACGAGGCCCGCTGCGACAAAACCAGGGACCGCTGCATTGTGGCAACCCCCGGGATTGCCCTGTGTGGGTGGGGGATACGACGAGGCACAGACGATTGATGAGAATAAGAACATAGACGGGTACTCCAAGATTAGACCAATAATACAGGACGATCAGTAAGATACTGACCCGTTGGTGGGTGAGGGGAAACTAGAGGACACTGTCCCAGCAGCGGGACACACCTCATGGTGATAGCCAGAACAGCGGCAGTTAGAGAAGCAATGCGCCTGTGGGACCCAAGTAGAAGCTTTTGGAGTCCCCTGCCGTATTGTGGTCCGGCACATGCATGCATGCGCCCTGCTTCCACGCACCACGGCAGTTCCTTCGCAATAACTTGCGTATCGATACACTCATACTTCGCTTCGAGAAGTCAAAGCTGCACCAGATCCCTAAAAGGGGTTAGTAGTGGAGGGGTTTTGCGGCGCCTAATAGCATTCTGTAGTATCCAACCTTGATGACCTTGGACTCTTGGTTGCATGAAAATTTGGCAAACTTGGCAACTGCAATCAACATCCAGTGCTTCCGACAGGTACCTTCTATAAACAGGACAAAAGGCAGCACGCGGAAACACCATAGTTCAGCTACAGCGAGCCGTGGGCCAGCTGCAGTAGCTGCAATGCCCAGGATTTGCAGAACTAACATGTAACATGATCAAGAACCGGTAATAACGTCAGAGCTGGCGTTGTCGCGGAGAACCAACGCAGGAGGAATTCTTACAGTTTCGGCCAAACGCCATGCATTCTGCCAGGCGAATATACATTTGTGTTAAAATGTGATATTTGGATGTTGCATCGAAAGCGAGGCGTCGGAGTTGCTCACGGAGTTGATTCTGTTGGAGACCTTACCCTCAGGCAGGACACTCAACACCCTTCCAGGCCACAAGTAAAAATTTGGTACAAACTGACGCAGCTCTTCTGTACTCCTCCAGCATAATGATTGGCGTTATGCATGAACAGCTGCATCACTTTTCGGTTGCCTCCGTACAATAATTTGAAAAGAAATCAATTTTGTGCCTTTCATTTTTCCGAAGCTGTCTTGTAGTGCGTCAATCTTTCCTCATAACAGACGAAACTATACGTTCCTACGTTGTGGTCCTACGTTTTTACTTTCGTTGGCAGATGCTCACCGGACAACCTCGATGAGCAACCAGTCAAACTGTCGCCGGTGTAAAGGCCATACACATTAATCTAAAATAATTGGGAGCCACCTGCTGGAACCAGGACTATGGCTCCACCAACAGTGAGGGCGTCACAGACATCGGGTGGGAGGGGGTGGGAAATGTCGCTCTGCACTTTGGGTTCCCTTCACCTGCCTCTTCGTAATAAACCGCAATATTTACCTCTATGAAATGCAGTACCATCTACGCAACAACGGCAGCAACAACAACAAATTGACGCGGCGGAATACTATGGGCTTTACAAGACCGCGCGGACACTTGCGAGATCTTACCAGGCCGTGGCTCATCAGAAGGATGACCAAGTCAAGGCCTTGACACGTGAAATGGAGGAACTGAAGCTCAAGCTGCAACAGATGGAGGCACAGCAGCAGAGGCTGACAGCTAGTTACCCAGGTAAGAAGTCCTCTGGACATTGCACTCGTAGCTTTGCCGCTTGGATACATTAAAACACAAAAAACAAAGTTATATTTGGGATATTTTTCCTTGAAACTGTCACAGCGCGCAAACCTGTTTTGGGGTGCAGCTTAAGCATGACTCAATGGGATCGCAGTTGTCATTTTAACGCCGAAAGTCCTGAGATGTCACAAACTTTATTATACTATTAGCTGCTCCTTGGCTTAGGTTTTCGCGCCACCAGAAGCCCGCCAAAGCTGTCGCCATAGTGTGTTACGACCGCACCTGCACTTTTTCCCGCAATCCTAATATGGCGCCCCCTCAAACGCAACAAATGCCATCTTTTCTGCATGCTTTTATCTTCCCCATCAAACGCAGACGTGGCATCTTCGGCCCTCCCGCCCGGCGCCCACAGCCTGCAGCGTCAGCTGCCTACCGAGGCACCGCTACCCACGCGATCGTCTGCAGGCGCGCTCCCCTACGCAGGCGCACAACCGGGACTGCAAGCGCCAGCAGCCCCGGCCTCCTCCACGCCCTACACATTGACCCGTAATGCCACACTCTTTATGCAGGCTGCTTCCGCTACTTCCATACAGCGCCAGCATCTGCAGCAACCACATGCGATACCGCCGCCGCCGCATTCACAGGTTCAAAGAGCTTCTGCCACCATTGGCGGGACCTCCAGCTCTGCGACCGGTGCGACCTTGCGGCACTCCGCCGACGCGAACCTGACGATGATGGCGGCTCCGATGCGTGCCCGCAGCCTGCAACATGTCTCCGACGTGTCACTCCCTGCGCCGGCACCAGTGGCGGCTCCGACGCAACTAGTTTACCCGGAGATGCCGATGCCGCCGCCGGTGTTAGCGCCTCCGCCGGCTGGGGGACAAAACCTGGCCGGCATGTTTGTGCGGTCCGCGCGCTCCGCACGTGTAGCCGGCGACGCGTGGAGCGCGCGGTACAGCGAGCCGCAGCCCCCCGGGTTAGAAGACGCCGAGGATGCCGACACAGCCGACGCCAGCAAGGGCAAGAAGTCCAAAGAGGCCAAGGGATCCATCACCAAGGCGTTTAAGAAGCTCATGTCCAAGAGCTGGCGCGGCGGTCGCGACGAAAACCCGCACAGACAGGATGCCGGCGAAGGCGGAGGTGGTGCCGCCGCAGTCGCGGGTACCGACATCCTTGATCCGCACCAGAACTACCACCAGTACAGCCAGCAGCAACAACAACATTTGTCGTACCCGCACACCGTGGCTCATAACTGGGGCCCCATGGAGCAGGCACCACCGCTGTCCCTTGACTCCCACGACCTGGGTACGGGCCACGGCGTCCATAACCCATCTCTATTGCCGTTTGCAGCTGAGCCGCTTAGTATGGCGCCGCCGCCGTTGGCGCTGCCTGCGGCGGCCGTCACGGATAGGTCGCTGGCGGCTGTGGGCTCGGGACCCGCAGCCATTTCGATGACGTTGCCTTCAGAGTACCTCCTCGGCAAGCCGTCGCCCCAGGACCAGCTAGCACTTTATGAGCAGCGACAGGAGGCCGTCCGGCAGCAGCAGCAACAGATATTGTTGCTGCAGCAGCAGCTGCTGCTACTGCAACAAAGCCACCAGGAGCAGCAGCAGCAACATCTTGCATTTCAGCAACAGCAGCAAGAGCAACAACAGCACCTGCATCTAGTTGCAGTCCAACAACGGGCGCCTGCCCCGCCGCCGCCGCCGCCGCCGCAGCAGCAACAAGCGCTGCGTCCAGGAGTTAAAGGTCCCCTCCAGTCCCAGTCCCAAGTCCAATCGCCAGGTCGCGTCCTGCAGTTCCAGGGTTCTCTGGGCCGTACCAACCCCCTGAACTCTTCCACGTCGGAGATAATCGTCGCACGAAATGCCCACAGCCAATCCCAAATCAGCAGCGCCGGCATCGGCGTCGCCGCCGCCGCAGCACGCGGCCTCCATCCGCAGGCGAGTACCAGTACCGGTGCATCATCCATTCTGTTACCGCCCAGCGCCGCTGCACCATTGCCTTTGGACTCCAGGGCCTCGGCCTTCAGTCACTCCGTTGTCGGCGATGGTGGCAATTGGGGAGTCCGGGTTTCACGCTCAGCCATGGGCCAGTTTGCGCAGCGACTGAAGAATAGCGTGCCAGCACCCGCGATGCGGCGGTCATATGACGGCTCGATGGACATGGCTGCCGCTGCCGTTGCCGGCGTCAGTGGACTGGTCAGCTCCACTGCATCCGTCCACCAGTCTTGGAGCTCGGATGGTGCGGCGGCGGCGGCTTGGGCTGTGGCTGGATCGCACCCCACGGAGCTGCCAATGCCGCCTTCCGCCAACTCGCTGCGGCCCAACTCGGTAGGCAGGAGCGGCGGAGTCACGACTTCGCTGTCCTCTCTCAATTTCCGCGCCGCCGCGGCGCAGCTCAACCATCTGCCACCGCGGCCTGCTGGCCGGGCAACCGCTGTCTCTCCGGCTGCTGCTCCTGCTGGGCCCAATGTCCTCCCGGGCGGACATGGTGGCGTGGTGGCTGCTGGCGTCGGCGCTACTGCCATTGCCGGAAGCGGCCTGACTCACATGATAGAGCAGGGCGCTGCTCCCTGGTCAGGTCCGCAAGCCGCCGCGCCTGAGGCAGCGCCTGCATCCATTGCCTCCGCGGAGATAGTCATCGCCGTCCGCTCGCCGGTAGCCAATCGCACTGCGCCGGCACATATGACGCAGCTCTCGACTCCAGTCAAGAACTTCATGGCAGACGCTGCAGACGCTGCCAAGTCAACCCTGAAGCCCAAGCCTCCCGCCTCACCTATCGCTGCTGCCGTTGTTGCTGTTCCGTCATCGGAGGCATATCTGGAGGGTATCCTTGGCCGTCTGAAGACCCCCAGCGTGCTGCTCACCGCCAGCACTGCTGCACAGCTAGCCGCGGCTGTACAGGCTGACCTTGATCAAGTTCAGCAGCAGCCGGCCCCTCCGCCACCTCCGCCATCGCCGCCGCCGCCGCCGACAACGACCGAGATGGCGGATGCCGTCGTCGGTGCTGCTGCTGTTGCTTCAGTCAGCGTCCTGCATCTGACCGCAGACGAGGCCGTGCAGACGGAGAGCCCAGTGAAGGCATGTGCATCGCAGCCGGAGCAAGGCACTGCCCCAGCATCAACAGCCACGTCTAGTTTGACGCCTCATGGGGGAGAGGACGACACTGTACTACGACGCGACCTGCGGCGCAGCGTGGGCGTGGGGTGGCGGTCAAAGGCCCTGGGCTACAAAAACGCCTTTCCATCTCCCAGTTTTCATGAAAAGACGTTGCCACGGGTGGGTCGCCTGAGTTCAGAGGCTCAGTAGTCGCATTGCAGTCAGTGAGCAAGAGGCAGGTCCTGTCCTCGGCTACACACTCGGCAACAGCTCTGATATCAGCATTGTTCATCTCTATGTGGACTATGTGAATCATGCCTGTCGGCCTCAGTACTGAAGCCGCCGGCCCATCTCCCCCCTTCCCAGGGTTTCAGCTCCTAACCCATGAGCCAAACCCCCTCCTTCCCAGGGCTTCAGCTCCTAACCCATGAGCCAAACCCCCCTCCTTCCCGACCTCTCTCTTCCCTAAATGTTTTTTTCCTTGGCATGTCCTGGACACGCACATCCCCGCAGGCGTCAATGTCCGCGGGAATGCTCCAATCCCTGGCTTCGCCTCCTCCTTCGCCGCCACCGCCACTCCTGGCCAGGTGCACGGCGATGGTCGAGGAGTCCCTGCTCGCCGGCACCCCGATCAGCCCGCAGCAAAAGTCATCCCAGGCCCAGCTCGAGCCAACTGCTGCCTCCGTGGACTTAGTACCCATGCCTGCTTCTACCCGTGTCTCCAGGACCGCCCCAGCGTCACCCGCCGTGCCACCTGTAATGCAGGTTTTGGGCCGTACACCCACACGGGCATCATCATCATCTGCAGCTGCTGCCGCTGCCGAGCTATTTGCACTGGACAGTCCTAAGGCCCCGGCTCCGCCGTCGTCACCTCGAGGCCCCGGGGGCGAAGATGTGGATGAGCTGGAAGCCGTGGTGTTCCGCTCGCCGCATTCCCACCGTCGCCACCACCACCACCACCGCCACCATCATCACCATCATCACCATCATCACCGCCAGGAGCAGCGCGCCGAGGCAGTGTCGCTGCTTCAGTCGTTCAGCCCTCGGGTGCGTGTGGGAACCCGGGCCGCTGCGGACAAGACGGAACAAAGCTTCACAAACAAAGTAAGTTTTCTGTCCCAGCGCGCACGCATGGCTTGGAGGAGGAGGTTCCGGGAATCCGTTCCGGGAGATGAAGTAGTATATGATTATAGGCGGGTCATCAGGCCGATCAGGAATACGTGTGGCAGTCGCCAACAGTTCATTGTTCAGTGCAATCTGATCAGGGTGTGTGATATGAACGCGTGCGTTAACGGAAGATGTGGTCATTCTCCTTCCCGTCCGTCCTGGCGTTCCAGGATCCATGGTATGCGTGTTGCGCGATCAGACGCTGGCATCTCGTCGCTTCAGGTTCAAGCCGTGTTTCGGAGCTGTCTATCCCTTTCGTTGGGGTTCGTTAATTAGAGTATAAGGCGTGATGTTACTTACAATCGCGCAGCGCATAGAGCATTGCCATCGCGAGAATGATGGCGAGTACATTACCGATTGTTTTGTGCCGTACTGTGCCGTACTTGCGCGGTGTCCGTCCGTCTGGTCGTCTCTCTATCCATCCATCTGCTACCATGCAGTGACTCCTCCGCCTGCGCGAGGATCCTATTGCGGGCGCTATCTCTACTGGTACTGCCGCATCCGCTTCTGCTGCCGCTGGCACTGTGCCCACACCGCACAGCCAGCTGGCCAGTGACGGGCCTGGCCGACGGCCCCGCTGCCCCACCGCCGCCATTCCTTATGGGACGCAGAGTGAACAAAGGGCGGCTGGAGGAGGCGGCGGAGGCGGAAGCCAAGGCGGCAGCGAGGACGCGAAAGCGGCAGGAGCAGCGGCATTCGCGACCGCTACAAAAGGATCACGCGTGGGCGACATCATCACCAGCATCGGCACTGAAGCTGCCGAGAACGTTACTGGCGGTGCCAAGGGCGGCATTGTCGAGCCAGCGGAGCCGCAACAGCCGCAGATGATGCGGCGGATGGACATGATAGGGGAAGGGGGACGGCGGATCGCAGTTCATAACGACAAGAAGGTGGTTGAGGCTGTAGGGGCAACCAAGACCAAGGCCTTGCCTACTACCAAGACGACCGCCACTGCAACAGTCAACGAGATCGTTACAACAACGTTGACGGCAACCATTATTACCACGGGACATGTTCCCTCGACAGACCTGGATTGCCAGCCTGACGGCGAAGGTGGCACGGTGGGTGCGCTCTGGCTGGCAGCGCCAGTCAGCGCCCGTACGGTCGCCGCTTCCGTATCCGTCAAGCCTGCCCGCGGCTACGGCGGTCGTTACGCTGCCACAGTTGCGGAGTGCGATAGCAGCAGCAACCCGAGCACCAGTCGCAGCGGCGCCTGCTCAACGGAGCCGTCGCCACGCCGCCAGCATCCCACACACGACACACAATTCCGGACGCACGACCCCAGTGACACTAAAGTAGCTGGCTGCCCGGGCGCTGACGGCAGTGCCACTCTGGCACTTGCCTCAGCGAAGCTCTCCGACGTCCGCAAGACTGTGTCCAGTAGCGGAGTGACACACGAAACGGTTTCCGCGGCACCTATTAGCAGCCGCACTGGCACTCTACTACACGTTGCTGACGTGGCGCTGTCAGATTACCCGAGTGCCCGGTCCAACCCCAGCGCGTCGGCGCGACTGCGTGAGCGTGAGGGTGTTAGCAACGCGCACTCGGGCGGTGCGACGCCCTCCTCCTGCCGCCAGATTTCCCTGGCTGTGGCGCCGTCGCCGTCTCCACCTGTCAGTGCCAGCGACAGCTCTGCCGGTAGCTGGGATCCCGTGCCCAGCAGCCAGCGCGGCAGCAGCGGCTGTGCTGCGCCCCGTAGAGGCATAGTGCCTTCATCGTTGGCGGCATCGGCGGCAACGGCTACGGGGCCGACGCCTGCGGAAATATCTCAGGCCGCCGGCGTGGCGTCGGGGATCCGGCACCAGCAACTCCCCGCATCGAGCTCGCGACCCGATGGGGGATCGGCAATGGGTGCACAGCCGCCGCCTCAGCATTTGCTGCTGCTCGACAGCAGCACCGGCGGCGTCACTCCTGCCGCCCTGCGTCTGCAGCAGAACCTCACGGAGGCGGCGAACTCTGTCTTGGAGCCCATTGCTGCACGGAAGCGCGGCGCCGTGCGGCGGCGCTCTCTAGCGGCCGGGTTGGACGCGGCGGGCGATGCGATGAAGGAACCGGCCTCGGCTGTCGGCGGGGCTTCCGCAGCAACAGCGGCGGCGGGGGCAACGCATGAGTTGAGCCTGCTTGCGCCCCGAAACCGCCACCGCCGCTGGTGGTCGCAAGGCGACAGCGAAAACTTAAGAGAAGATGTGCCATCAGCCGTGGCTGACGAGCTGCCCGCCCGTACCACGGTGTCCACATCCATAGATGCTGCCCCTGTGGCGGGTACATCCGCCGCCGCGGGCAATATCGTACCTACCGTCGTGAGCAGCCATTGCAGCGATGGGCAAGCGGTATCTAGGAGGGTCACGACGGCTATGGACATTAAACCGGCGACCTCCGCGAGCCTTGAGTTCGTTCTGACGGAGTGCCAGCGGCATCACGCCGCGTCTGTAATCCAGTCGAGCTGGCGCGACGCCCGTGCCGTACGATCGGTAGGCGCGGGCGCCGAAGGGTTGCTGGCGGCGGCCTCCAAGGCGGACAAGGCGCGCTCTGTGCAAAGACAGCACCTGGAACAGCTGCAGCAGCGGCAACAACAGCTGCAGAAGCGGCAGCATGCCCGACTGCAACACAGCAAGTCCGCAATGACGATTCAGAGGGCTTGGAGGGCGTACATGGCCGCCAAGGCTGCGGCGAAGCGCGAGGAGCACCGGCGGCAGGAACGTGCAGCGGTCTGCATACAGCGGGGCTGGCATGCCTACAGGCAAGCACAACCCTAATTCTTCTCTAGTAGTATTAAGGAGCCATTAAATGGTCGTGGCTTTCCTATTCTCTTCAATTTGTAGTGGAAAATGCTTGGCTTTACGGCCCATGCTGGTTGGCTGTTGCAATTGTACCACCTGCTACTGCCCTGTTTTGTTTCGGCACGCGTATCCCCTGATGCAAGACGTGTATGACCTCATTGGCTTAGCCCCGTATAACGTCTTCGCAAACGAGCCGTGGCTTGTGCCGCCTTGTACTGCTGCCATGCATCACACGTGTGCGTCCACTAGGCAGTTCCCTCTGGGCACTCCCACACCTCACAACTTCCCCTACCATGCAGGCGCCGCACCGCAGCAGCAATCGTCCCCTCCCCCATCGTCAACATTGCCCGCGCGCCCGCTACCCCAGCCGTGCACCAAGGCCCCGGCCTCTCCCCATCGGCCGCTACCCCGGTACTGGTCCTGCTGCCGCTCTCTCAGCAGCAGCCGGTGTGCGTACGTCTGCCGTCGGCCCGTATGTGCAGCAGCGGCGGCCTGAAGCGCCGCCTTTTCCAGCCGGTGACCTACTCCCTGGATGGTATGGGCCGCGGCCCACTGCTCGACGCCTCGGAGCGGCTGCGGCTGCTTCGCGGCAGTATGAGCCAGAGCGAGGGCGGCTGGTCGGGGTCTGTGAACGAGTCAACGGCAATGGACGCGCAGCAGCCGGAATGCAGGCGACGCAGCGCCAGCGCTGGAGGCGCCTCGCCTGCACTGTGAGTATGATGGTTCTAGGTTTCGGTAGGTTATAGGTATAGCCTGGATGCAGGTTTATTTGGAGTTTGGCATAGCGGTGCTCCAGTTTTCCAGGGCCCAGAGTTTTCTTGTGCAGCTTCAGCGATTTTCCCCTGCTAAGATATAGCAGATTGGCACGTTTGGAGGAAGGGCGATACCTACTACCAGAGCTCCTTTTAGTGGGTAAACGAGGTGTCAGGCCGGCATATGATGACCCTTTGCACTACTGTCCGCACGTTGCGCTTTCTTCATTAATTGAAAGCGATAAGAGGTTTTCCTTCGCCTTTTCTCCTTCAAGCAGGGATGCGCCTTTCCCACAACCAGCGTTCATGTTGCCAGACAACGCCGACGATGATATTGGTGACGTGGCCGGACCAGTCCCCGTCAAGTCGGCCCCTATGGCTGCAGTCAGAGCTGCAATCCTTCCCCCCGCTGGCCCTGCCGTGGGCGGCCTCTTGGCCACTGCTGCAGCGGCAATCACAGCCGGTTCTTCTGCAATGCCAGTAGCTGCTGCTGCTCCTGCCGCTGGCACCTCCACGCCCGTTACACGGTCGCCAGCACCACCAGCACCACCACCGCAGCCGCCGCCGCCACCGCCGCAACCAGCCCATCAGCAACAGCAGGTTCGCGCCAGCCTCGACCTCTTGAGCATGGAAACTGCAGCCGCGGCGCTGCCACTGCCTGAAGCCAACAGCGACTACTCATCCGCCGCGACGCAGTCCTGGCCTGCTGGCCTCAAGATCAGCTGTCCACCTCGGCCCCACTCTGAATCCACCGCCGGCGTAGTGGCCCTTGCCTCCGCAGCATCGCCCAGCACACAGCCCACGACGGCCAATTCACCAATGCCACCCAACCCCCTCGCCAGTCCCACGTTTTTGTTCTGTGGCGACGTCGTAACTCGCGCCGGCGCTGTGCACTCGGACTTAATCCACGGTCGCACTCGCAGCCGCGTCCACAGCAGCTGCGGATCTGACATTCGAACCGTTGATGATCACGACGGTGACGACGGCGTCCGGGACCGGCCCATGGGTCGAGGTGGCGTCAGTCTCATCAGCGCTAGCTGGGACGGTGGTCGCATGCTCCTGGAGCGCTCCGGCCCTTCCCTGGACCCCAAGAGTGCTGTACGACGGAGCTACGGCGACGGCAGCAATAACAATGCCGCTGGCGGCGGTTTCATGGACAGCCTACGTGGGATCCGCACGGATGTGACGCTGCTGGCCCAGCTGGCCGGCGCAGCCATGAACAGCTGCCTGTCTTCCTCACCAGCACGGGCGCAGCAGCACACACCGAAGCATCAGCCGGCACCGCTTCCACCGCGGCAGCCACCTGCTCCTTCGCCGCCATCTCAGGGCCTTGCCGCGGCCACGACCATGACCGCGAGCATCACAGCAACAGTCACCTCCACAGCTGCTGCCATTCCCAAATATGCTGGAGCTGATACCCTGCCGACGGGGTTAGTAGTTAGCAGGCAGCCTCCCTTGAACACGGCCATCAGCCCGCTGGGAGTACCTCTCGACAGCTTTTGCCGGATCGGCACCGAAGAGGAGTTGGCTGAGTTTGAGGCCATCGAGGCGGCTGTAGCAGCAGCCGGAAGCAGAAGTGGAAGCGACAGGAGCGACGCCTTGCCCGCAGGGCCGCCCGCGGTGGGGTTGTCTGCAGCACGAGCGTTAGCTACGGAATTCACCGGCGATGATGATGACGAAGCCCCCATCACGTCTTCACGCTGCCTTACCACCACGCCGCCCACATCTCGCCTGCTAAGCTGCAGCAGCAGCAACGACGAGGGTGACGATGACGATGACCGGCTTATGCTGCGCATCGAGCAATGCGAGTTGTCATCAAATCCCGCACCTGCCACTGCTCCGCTGGAGGCGCAGGAGGTTGTACAGGAAAGGGACTTCGTTGGTCGCGAGGAGAACAATGACGGAAGCCTCAGCCCGCTTCGTCAAACGCAGGCTTCCGATCGCACGCCGCAGGCGTACAGCACTAGCTGCCTGGCTGCCGGTATTGGCAGTCCACCGTCGATAAGTACTGCCACCACCACCACGACGGGCGGAGATGCGGATAAGCTGTTGGGTGTTGGCAATGCGCCCAGTCCAGTCCGCTGGCACACTTCGGAGCTGTGGGAAATAGCGCACCTGCACCCGCACACCCCGACACCGGTAGCCACGCCTACGGAGGCCAATGCAGAAACCGCCCTGCATCGTTCCTGGCCTTTTCCCCGTCCTGCAGTCCCCGTCGGCAGCAGCAGCAGTGGCTGCGGCAGCAGCATCTGCAGCAGCAGCGGCGCGAATAGCAACAGCAGCGTTGCTGGCGCCGCTGCCACCGCCACCGCCGCCGCTAGCGGCAGCTCCGGAGCTACGGTACGACCTTCGTGGAAGTCTATCCGAAGCGCTGCCGCTATTGTCGCCGGCCGTGCTGGTTCCGCAAGCCGTGTCAGCGTGTTTGGGGAGTATGCTGCCAACGCAGCCAGTGACCCCGCCGTTACCAGTTCTCCCATGATCAGATCGGCGGAGCGACTGAGGCGCACGGCTACCAGCCCAGTGCGCTGGCACACCTCCCAGCTGTGGGAGCTTGCCAACAACCAGACCGGAGGTTCCGGGGGCAGCGGCACGCCACCGCCGCTAATGACGCCGCGTGACACGAATGGTGGCGGTGGCGGCAGCGGCGGCGGCGGCGGCGGCAATGCCCCTAACGTCGGACGCCGCGCCTGGTCTGCGCCATCCGCACCGGATGCCAAGCCTCCCTTACCAGCTCCGTCGACCACTCTGCCACCTACTACCGCACCTGCTGCTAATGCTTCTGGTGCTGGTGCTTCTGGTGCTGCTGCTGCTGCTTCTGGTGCTGGTGCTGCTGCTGCTGGTGCTGCTGGTGCTGGTGCTGCTGCTAATGCTGCTGCTAATGCTGCTAATGCTGCTGGTGCTGCTGCTGCTGGTGCTGCTGCTGTCGGCGCGCCGGCTCTGGCTCCGCCGCCAGCCATGGCCGCACCGGTGGCGGCCGCTGTGAGGAACGTTCCGTCAACGGTGGCAGCTACAGCCAGCAGCAATGCCGCTTCTGCGGTCCCGGTATCTTCGAAATCCACCGAAGCGGCCTCCGGGACCAGCGCCAGTACCGCGGCAACAGTGAAGGCAGGCGCGTCTGAGGGGGCGAAACGTGCAACAGCGGCGGGTACCATGCCATCAGGAGCGGTGGCGCGTGCGTTACCAACGGCATCGAAGGCTGTGCCAGGTGCGGTGGCGGCTCCTACAGCGCCGGCCGCGCCAGTGAGGGCGGCGGCAGCAGCAGCTGTAGCAGCAGCAGCAGCTGCGGCCGCACCTGGTGTGTCTCGGAGTTTGGATTCGCCCACCCTGACGCCGCCTATCTTTGGCGGCTTTCCAACCGGGGCGACAATGGCGGCATCACCTTCATTTACAAGGAGAGGCCGACGTCCGGTGGGTCCTGTATGATTGCTGCAATGCGCTCTCGCCTATGAAATATTTGATGTGTTGGACCTGTCTTTCTGTCTTCCTGCTTTTGTGTTCATTATTGACTGGCCTTGGAATAACAGCATGAATACAGTATCTGCGTAAAATGCCTCTCATTCTCCCACATCCCCCCTCTTTCCCCGTGCCCTCCTGCAGCTGAGCGCGTCCCACCGCTTCGATGACGTCCTTACTTGCGCTCCTCCGCCTCCGACACCGTCGACGCCGCCACCACTGCAGACGGCGGCGGCGGCGGCGGCTAGCACGACCCAACCGCTGGCGACTGCATCTATGAGACTGCACGTCCTATCCGGCGATACCGTCAATAGACTGAAGCTTCGGGCTGCAGAGCCCGCACCACTGCATTCCAGTCCCACCCTCTCCGCGGCTTCAGGGCAGTGCCAGGTAGCGGCGATGCCAGCCACAACTAAGGGCATCGCAGCTGTCGCGACAACAGTGACAGGCGCCACAACTGCTGTTGCCAAGACCACAGCCGCCGCTGCTGCTTTAACTACCCCTGCAGCTGCCGCGAAATCAATTCCCGCTGCGGCTGCCTCAGCAACCGCTGCAACTGCCAAGCCTGGCGGCACAACATCCTCCCTCCGCAGCAGCCTGAGCAAGATTCCATCACTGAATACCAGCGCATTGTCGGGCTCTGCTGCGTGCCAGTCGGAATCACGGGCTCAGTCACAATCGGCGCGCTCCTCTACAACCAGGGATGCATCGACCCCGTTGCAACCGCAGCCTCAGCAGTCGCAGCCAAGCTCTGCGAGTGGCGCCATGCCTATCTCCGCTGCGCAGTCCACCGCCACCACCACCACCACATCCGCCACCACGCTCAAGGGTATCGCGCGCTCCGATTCGCAAAGCCGCGCAGTTCTGACGGAGGCCACCAACAGTATTGCGATCGCTGCCACCCAAGCGGCGACGATGGCAGCCGCCACTGCCGCCGCCGCCGCTGTGTTGTCGCCCTCCTTGAAAACACAGCGCCTTATTAGCTCATCTTCCAGCAGTGGCAGCAGCAACTGTAGCAGCAGGAGCGGCGAGACCACCGCCACGAGCGTCAACCCTACGTCGTACGATAGCGCCACGGCGGTGGCGTACATCTTCCCCAAGTCATCCATCAACAAGGGCGATACACCGGCGGCTCCGGTCGCTGCTGGCGCTGCCACTGCCTCGACTGCCGACGGCCCCGCGGCCCTAGACAGGCGCTCCTCCGCGGTGGTCGGGATGCTGTGTCCTGCACCCAGCGGTACTGCTGCTGCTGCCGCCGCCGCCGCCATGCTGCCAGTTGCGCCCGCTGCCATCGGCAGCAGCGGCGTATGCTCCCACCAGGAGCGTCGCCGCTACGCGAGCAGCCCTAGCATGATCAGCGCACGTATGACAAGCCCGATGCTGGACGGCGACAGCGACGCCTCGCCGCGTCTGGGCCTCCCGCCGCACAACACCCTATACCCCTCTGCTGCGCCACGCCGGTTATCAACCGGCTCTGCCACTGCCAGCTCGGAGGGCTCGTCGCCCCGCTACGCCGGCATATCTTCCAAGCTGCCGCACGCCTTATCGTACTATCAGAACCCCTACTTTGACATCGGCAACGGCAGCGGCGGTAACTCCATGGCCGCCCAGGCAAGGGGGCTTTGCCACCGCCGTTCCTCTTCTTCCCCGGGATCACTGGAGGACATGTCCCAGGGGGCCACGGAAAGCGGCGTTGCGGCGGCGGCGGTGCTTTCAGGTGGACTGGCTGCGGCGGCCGCGGGATCAGCTGGGGTGGATTCAGCAGCTGCGCTTTGCCACAGCAGCTTTGCGGGCAGCAAGCGGCAGCAGGCAGACGCGGAGGCCTTCTCTCTGTATGGCGGCCTGGCCCTGTCGTATGAGAGCAGCGATAGCGAGCTTTGAGGACGGCGATCCCTGACTAGAAATGTCGAGCGCTGCATTCTTGACATGTTACGGACGTTTTGCCCGGTTGCGGGCAGGGATGGTTGGTGGCGGTGCAAGGTAGGGATGGAGGGCAGTGAGTCGGTAGCCAAGGTAGGGAGATGATGGATGGATGGATGGATGGATGGATGGATGGATGGATGGATGGATGGATGGATGGATGGATGGATGGATGGATGGATGGATGGATGGATGGATGGATGGATGGATGGATGGATGGATGGATGGATGGATGGATGGATGGATGGATGAATGGATGGATGGATGGGATGAACGCCCTCAAGGGTTGTAGGCAGGGTCCATAAGGAGGACGTGGAGGCAGGCTTTTGAAGTTTTGGGCAGTGGTGTTAGGGAGTTGGCTGCTGATGGCATGCTAAGGGAAGAGGGTAAAGTGTTTTTTCTTCTTCTTGTCGGCCACCTGCTGAAGCACGGGGATTTCAGCTCTGCATCCACATGGTCGACATTGCAGCGCATGGCGCCTTCACGAGGCAGTGATGATGTAATGTTTGTGAGTAGGACGGCCATGGAGCGGAGTCGGCGGCTTTTGCAGGGCTTTCTACAGGGTTTTCTACCCCACCTGCTCTGATCGCATTCCATCTACATACAGGCTGCTTTTAATCTTGTAGCAACATGCACATGTGTTCATGTATGTCTGTACGTCTGCGGCTTTTTTCCGTTGTTTCGTGAAGGCAGGCAGTAGGGGTAGGTTGCATTTTAGTCGGCTTTTGGATGAGTTACTGCTTCGGAGGCGCGCCTCCATTCATGTAGTTATTTACAGTTAGGATGGAGCTGCCGGTTTGCGGCAGAGTTGGAAGCTATGAAGGAATTGAGCTAAGCCTACAATTTGCCATGGCGCCAGTTGACCCAGATGCTCCTGTTGGCGAGGCTGCCAAAGCGCGCATTCCTCGCATCGATTGACCCTGTGGCCCATTTTCCCGGATCCACTCAAGCTTCGTAGTAGTGTTAAGGTGATGGCGTTCATCCAGCAGAGGTGTTAAGGCATGTGATGCACTAGCTTGGCGTGTTCGTTGTTTCCCAGTTTCCAGTAGCTAAGGGAAGGAAGAAGCGACCTGCCCGGTTTGTCGGCCTTGCTTTGCGGCAAATGGCTGCGCAGGCGCCAATCCTTGGCAGGAGAGCGCTACCGGTGGCTTTTAGTATTTGCTTTGGTTGTGGCGAGCGCGGGTTGACGTATCTTCATGCGGGTTGACGTCGTTCGCTTGCGAGCTATCTACCACTCCACACATAGTTGCATTAATCCCGTTTCAATTGTCCATCAGAGCAGTTTCTAGCTGTAGGCTTGTTCATAGCTTATCGACCTGCATCACAAGTCCCCTATGTGACAAAACTCGAGACAGGGTCGAGCGCCCCCGGACTTTCTCTTTGTCCAGATACCTATCGTTGTCGCAGTCATGATGTGAACAGCCGTGTCGAATTGTTACAAAATTATAGATCCAAACCAGAGATAGATTCTTGGGTTTCCTTTAGACGAATGTAGCAAGTACCTGTAACTGTATACGTCCAACTCACACACCGCCAAAGCAAACATGTCACATCTTATCTTACTTCCCTTCCATGTTCCCGCGCTCCCCGCTTCTCCTCCTTACCTACACCACCCTCACGACTCATCCCTGGCCCGGTCCTCAACAAAGCACTTCTCCCCCTCCTCCTCCTCCTCCTCCTCATTATCATCACCATCATCATTCCTCCCTCCCTCTTCTGGATCCTCCGTATCATAATCATCGTCGTCTAACTCCCGACCTGAGTAGGCAAACGCAAGCAGCCCAGTAAATTTGGCCTCAATCTGCTCCAGCGGCAAGCTCTCCGAGGCTGCGGGGTGGCCGGGTGGGATGCCGGGGTTGGGCCCGGCCGCAGCGTCGCTGGTTGACCAAGCACGGAGCAAGGGAGGCGAGGGGCAAGGAGGGAGAAACCGGGTGTCAGACAGGTCGACGGAGGCGGGGGCGCAAGGGCTTCATACACATTCGCATATACACCCACCCACCCACACTGCGGGTGATGGGGGCGGTACCGCCTACACGGCGATAGCATTAGGTCACCACTCACAATGGACATACCCCCTGCTTACATGGCCAGCCTGACCGCGGCGCTGTGGAGCTCCCAAGACCAGTCAGGGGTCCGACGGCATTCCAGGAAGGGGTAGGTGTTCACCTGGGAGATATAGGAGGGGGGCGAGGGGAGGGGAGCGGAGGGGAAGTGGGAGGGCAAAGTGGGAGGGAAGGGGAAATCATAACGCGAAATGTCCATAAGACACCTGCGGGCGCCGAGGGGCGGGGAGGGGAACAGCACGACGCCGGGCGCAGAGGGAGTTGCCAGGATGACCGGCAACACATGAAGCGGGACTCCTGCACACGCCACCCCCTTGCTGTGGACTGCATGCTGTGCTGTGTTACATCGGCTGATGTCATTAGGGACCACAGACTGTCCATCGGTGTGCGCGTGCACGTGTGTGTGTGTGCTTCTATCAAGTAATTCGATCTTTCAATCTCCCGTTATACGGAGGAAAACATCGCCTACGTCAAGACGATTTCGCGTGTCCGTGTTTCCTGTTCGGGACACACCTGCAGTACCGTGGATCCATCCGGGCCGGGTCGGAAGTACCAATAATGCCTGAACAGGACATACATACCGACACCACACACGGTAAAGAGCCAAGTTACGTGCATCACGCATTCACGTTTTTGCGTTTCAGCTTTGAATCACGTCCAGAGTCCCGTGTGCGTCTCTTCCCCTAATTCCCCCCCGAGCCCCCCGCCTCCCCCAGGGCCCCAAACATCCCACCTCTGCGGCTCGACGTCACCCCACAGCGGATCGTCCGGCGGCCCAGTGACTGTGTGGTTGGGGTGAAAGTAGCGATGTAGTATCAGCAGTCCAAGCTCGGAACCGAACCAGGGCACGGACTGCGGAGGTCGGGGCCGGGGAGCACGGAGCCGGGGAAAGCAGCGCTGTGAGGGTTGTGATGTAGTGGCCTGGGGTCAAGATGTTCGATTCATTTCTCAAGCCATGCCCTCCCTTCCCCGCATCGCGTTTGGTATCGTCTTCCCCTCTCAAGCCCCGTCAACCATCCCAGGTCCGCGCACCGCTTCCCTATCCCTCCCTCCCTTCGTCCCCTCCCTCGCCTTGAACCGCAACTCCCAGGTAAAGGCGCAAAGCTCCTGTTCTGTGGGCACTTGGCGGTCGGATTCCCGTAGGGAAGCCAGGTAGGCCCTACGCGCACTGGTCTGGGGTAGGGCCGGTGGAGGAAGGGGAAAACATGCAGGTATGCGCAGTAAATTATTATCCATGCATATAATAGCGCGGTGGACATTACTCGATGGGGGGATGTATGTGTGGGTGGGTGGGTGAGTGCGTCGTTGTAAGGGATCGGAAGGGCTGTAAGCGGAAAGAGGGGAACTGGGGGGCAATCCATTTCGGTCCGATCCGATCCAATCCCACGCGGTGCTGGCATCATCGCCATCATGTCCGGCGCTATGATGAGTCGATGCCGATGATCCTAGTCCTACCTTGGCCACCTCCCGCAGGTTCGTGGGCACGTAGACCTTGCCTTCCCAAAGCTGCGCCAGGTGCGGCCACCATAGCTGCTCATCAAGGAGGGCGAAATGCCGCCAGCTACGGCTGACTGCACCGCTTCGTGCTAGGTCATGTGGACCCAGGAAACTGAGCACAATGGATGCGCACGAAGGTCCTATCGCCTCAAGCGGGTCGCGGAGCATGCAGGTGTCCATAGATGATATATAAATGGAGGTCAAGCTGCGACTGGGTCACCGTTATATAAAAGAGCTGGAGGTAAGGCAGAGCAAGGCAAACAAGGCACGATCGCACGTTAAAAACCCTATTTCCAGCAAATTAAATAAGCAGCCATGACTGGGCTAAAGCACAGGCTTGGGATACCAAGCTGGTAAGAGCATGTAAAGACGTTAGCACCATTGGCCGCTCGTCCGAATTGAGTATTCTCTAACTAACGCCAAAGGCGTTTCTTGTACGATAGGGCCTTATGGCGCTAGCGTCCAGTTAAAAAAACCGATCCTTACCTATAAACGGTATTCTTCTAATACCACCAATCTACTCCTCTAGATAGTTAGCATGCAACGCGGTACCCTAGAGACCAACTATCATTACAGTTTGGCATCGGAGACCAAAAAAATCCTGCGACCCCAAACAGCATTCGCTTCTGCAACACTACAACAATGTCTGCTCTGAATCGACGCTCTAACGGCATGGACGGCGACGACAGCGGAAGGAGCCACCGTAATGGCGGGAAGCCCACCCGCGCTCACCAACTGGAGGTGACACGCCTCAACACGGCAAGACATGCTTAGCCAGTTTACATGTTACGTTACGTTACGAAAACTTTTATGGAAATGTGGGCCTGAAGAAGTCACCCATTTTACATGGCACGTTTACGACGACGTTGTGTTCGTTGGCGCGAACTGCGTAAACCATCTCTATCTCGGCCTCCGCAACAGGCCCATCTTCAGGGTGATACATGGTATGTGTAACAAAGCTCGGCACTTGGCAAAGCAGTTATGAAGATAATTATCCAACGATAAAAGGTGGTATTGATAAATACCGTTTGGTATTGAAGGCGGCTTGGGCCTGCATGTGCGCCTCTATGGAGTCCATTCTCCTCGACAGCTGGTCGAGTTTTTCCAACACCAGCTTGTAGTCGTCGCGTGGGGCTGCACCTGTTGGGTGTGCCGCATGGTCCATAGCGTCATTTCGCGCGATAATGGGTGCAACATTTTGTTGTGGGGACCTAAGCACCAATCGACATGGTGGCATTGCGCCATTAGGGCGGTGTGGGTGGGAAAGTGGTGGCAACCTTTCCTCAGGCGGGACGAGGTTAGCCGCAGTGATGTCGTTATGCTGACGCTCTTCGTGCAACTCACCCTGCCGTGTGCCGCGTTGCGGCTGGAGTGCGGCGGTGGGTCTGGGAGCGACTCCTGCAGTTCACGGCTTTCCTGCATGCACGAGAGTTCCTCATTGGCTTCCATTAGGAAGCCTAGTGTGGAGCGATAGTCTTGCTTGTTGCCGAACTGTCTGACTTTTTCATACATGTGCGATGGCGGTGAGATGCCCTGACGCTGGCTGGTCACGCCTTACGTACTTCTCATACGTTTCACTCGCACACCCAGTTATGTTCCCTTCTGCAGACAGACTCCTGACAAAGGCTGGGCGTTATGTGCAGCTGCCGCTTTGCTGCAATGCGGTACAGATCCTCCATCTCCCCACCCTCCTCTCCCTCCACCGCCTCCTCCTCCCCTGCACCCTTCCCATCCGCCATCTGCTCATCAGAGCTCACAACACTCACACCTGTCCACTGTCACTTCCACCACTGCTGTGGATCAAAGAGCTAGCGCCCCATCCTCTGGTTGGGCATCTGGCAGTCAGTCGGGCGAGGCTGGCAGCTGGGCAGGGTCACAACCAACTGCTCACCTGGGCAGGGTCACAACCAACTGCTCACCAGACCCACTGGGCTGGGGCGACTGCGGCATGACACTGATATCCACCAGGGAAGCAGCGGCAACTGCCACCTGCACCACCTCCAACACACTCCACGAGTGTGTCTGCACACTTCTATCAACACGCATTGCCAGCATGACTCACACACTGTGCCTTTCTGGCAGCTATCTTTGAGTGCTGGTGGGATGGTGAGGGTGGACTGCCTGTCAAGGTGGGCGAGTCGCTGCTGGTGCTGTCTCTCGTCTTGCTGGTTGTTGCACCCTTGTCTGTCTGCTCCTCAGCAGCATTCTCGAGCTCTTTGAATAGATTCCGGCCAACCTGCAGCAAATTTAGAAGCAAAATGCGGTGGGCTTTTAGCTCTGGCTCCACACCAGTAAAAATCGGCGGTCCTATGCGATTGACAGACAGCTTCAAATTGGTGGGCAACTTATAGTTTGGATGTGCCTTGCATGCAAGGTTGAACAACTGGACCTCGCGATTGTAAGCATCTCTTGCCGTTTTGAGGCGTGTTACCTTGGTGAGCACGGGTGGGCTTCATGCCATAATGGTGGCTCCTTCCGCTGTCGTCGTTAGAGCGTCGGTTCAGAGCAGACATTGATGTAGTGCTGTTTGAGGTTGCAGGATTTTGTGGTCTCCAATGCCAAACTGTAACGTTGCTTGGTCCCTATAGGGTACTGCATCATATGCTAACTAACTCGAGGACTTAGAAGTCCACAGATTGGTGGTATTGAAGGATACCGTTTTTAGGTCAAGATCAGTATTTTAACTGGGTTGGACTGTTGCACCATAAAGCCCTATCGTTCAAGAAACGCCTTTGGTGTTAGAGAATACTCAATTTGGATGAGGGGCAAATGGGCCTAACGTCCTTACAGAGGACCAGAACATAACTACGACATTTACAGCGATCATAGTAATACAGATGCTCAAAGTAGCCTGAACCTTTGCTTCATCCTCACTACTTCGGGTATTACGCGTGTGCCAACCATATCAATCCAACACAGGAACCGCTACTGGCATCATATGCCCAGGAGTATCATATGCATACCAAGGAGGAGCCCGGGCGATTACCCATGGAGCCATTCTTATAACATACACTACTAAGATTCGTTGTGACATGTGGTTCAAAACCTTGCAGGGTTGTCCTCAACACCAATGATGCTGTGCAGAGGCCCTAAGGCACTGATTGGGTCGGTAACCCATGGGTTACCCATCGGTTACCCACCTTCAACCCCCCGTAGCCCATTGGTAACCCCCTTGTAAGTTCCTACCCAGCAGGAGGGGTAACACGGCCCCAGGGTAACCCCCTCCGTTGCCCTGGACTATGGACATGGGCCTATAGGCTACTCATCTTATTTGCTGCGCATTTCGTGAATTCATTTTAGTACATTTCTGTAAATGTACATGTTACATATACATGTTGAACCTACAGTATCCCGGTAGCTCGGGAAGCATCGTTCGCCAATATGAATTAAAGGCCTCTAACGCTGCAGGAAAATTTTAGTAGAAGATTTAGAACTATGTATGTATTCAGTTTTAGCGTTTGTTCCTGCTTTGAGGGCATGAAACTCCCGTGCCGTATTATTGTCCCTAATAAGATTATTCATTCGCATTCATACAGTTCAAAGTGGATTGGGGAACGCAATTTAGCTTGAAATCCATTGTGTCTCTGGCTAGTTCTGAAAAGAAATCAATCATGGATTAACAAGTTTCCCTTTCCCTTCTTCGCCGGTCAATCGCAGACGCCTCCACGTCAGGCTTTGCCAGCTGCAGGCTTGTGGCAAACGGCCGCTGAGGGGCGGCCGGACAGCCGGCGGAGTCTTTTAGCCTAGTAGTGG